TTTTAGTATTATAATTTGATCAAAGTGACAAGTAGAGAAGAATTTTTAAATGAACGTTTACGTTTATTCAATTGTAATGATTTAAAACAAAATTATGCAGCTTGTGAAATTTATTGTGATAAAGTTTAGGAAATCATAATGTAGCATATTCTTTTGTTGTGTTTACAGTGGTTGTGTATTGTGGTGTACAAACGGCATCTTTAGACACAGTATCAATTAAAATACTTTGTGCGTTTACTGTGCTGTACTGTAAATGGTGTATTTGAGTGTGGTGTTTATTAGTATAATGTACAGCCGCGGTAAAATTGTTGCTCGATACTAGATTTTGTTTTTTCTGTGTAGATGGTCATGACAAGTTGAAGGATGCATGTAGACAACTGGTCATCTTTCATTAAATAGAAAAATTCCAGTAAGATATATTATTTTCAGGAAAAATTATTTTAAAATGTCAGTTCAACTTTTTTTATTTATAGAAGGCATTATAACAAAAAGGTTGACTTCATTGGTAATTAATTCTGTTGTGGCTTGTGAGGTAGTTAACATGAAGTACATAGGCCATTTAAGGCAGCAGTTATCAAAAAAGGCGCATTATATTTTAATGGGAGTAGTTATTAGAGGGACACAGAACAGTTTGTCAAAATATTCAGTAAAAGTGCAATGAATGGGCAATATTTAATTTAAGTAGACAGTGCAATGAATGGGCAGTATTGAAGTAGATAACATTGAATTGGCAGTATTTAATGGAAGTAGACAGGAACGGACCGGTTATAATATAAGAACGGTTTAAAATGTGTATTGTCTTGTATACTACACTGTTAAATGGAAGTGTGAATATAGGGAGTGTTTGTTAGAACTGCACAGGTTAGTATTGGGGATCATTTAGTGAAAGTGCACAGGTTAGTATTGGGGAGCATTAATGAAAGTGCATAGGCTGTTATTGGGGAGCGTTTAATAAAAGTGCACAGGCTAGATATTGGGGAGCATTTAATAAAAGTGCACAGGTTAGTATTGGGGAGCATTAAAGAAAGTGCATAGGCTAGATATTGGGGAGCATTTAATAAAAGTGCACAGGCTAGTATTGGGGAGCATTAAAGAAAGTGCATAGGCTAGATATTGGGGAGCATTTAATAAAAGTGCACAGGCTAGATATTGGGGAGCATTTAATAAAAGTGCACAGGCTAGATATTGGGGAGCATTTAATAAAAGTGCACAGGTTAGTATTGGGGAGCATTAATGAAAGTGCATAGGCTATTTATTTTTGGGGAGCATTTAATGAAAGTGTACAGGCTAGTATTGGGGAGCATTTAATGAACGTTCGCGGGCCAGTATTGGGAGGTTTTAATGAAATTGTAAGTGCACACTGAAGTATTTGGAGCATTTCATGAAAGTGCACAGGCTAGCATTGTGAGTTTTAATGAAAGTGCACAGGCTGGTATATAGGCACATTTAATGAAAGTGCACAAGCTAGTACATGGGAGTGTTTACTGAAATTGCACAGGCTGGCATATGGGAGCATATGCATTTAATTTAGTAGCATTATATAGGGCACTTTATGGAGCCTATTTTAGCTGGTAAAGTGCATATGACATTTGATAAGAAGTATTCAATAGGAGACAGGGCATTTTTCTGTGGGGTATTTAATAGATGTCAACAGGGTATTTTATTTAAAGTATTTAGAAGTACGGAGTACGTTTAATGCGGCATATTTTAAAAGTATTTAGGACACTTTTTGGGGTATTCAAAAGTACATAGATATTTTGTATTGCATATTTTTAAGAGGGCATGTGGAGTATTGTAGTACACATTCATTGTTAGGTTAAGTATTTCACGGAAGGATGTGGGTATTTTATATGGAGCATTTAATCTAGTTAGAATCATTATTGAGGCGTGTATTCTCTTGATTGATCTTGTAAATCACTTGTAAGAAAATGTGTCTGTGAAGTGAGTGCATGGATGCTGCTGTTTATTGGTGCATTTAATTTGCATCATATCAATTTCCACTTCATATAAGGTAGTTCATGGAGGTGTGTCGGCACATTGACTGATACATGCTGCAGGAGATCGCAGATTGTGGAGAGGCATAATCGCCCACGCCAGTCGGCAAGGCACCTGATGATGATGATTAGGTAGTTGATGTTGTTGTGTGTTGATATTCATTCATTTTATACTGGCTTGATTGTCATCTTGTAAGTACAATAATGAGATCTGCCAAGATGATTGCGATGTACGTTTGTTTAATGAAGATAACTCCATTACCATTTAGTGTTTTGCATTTATGCAAAATGATAACAAGAAGCCAGGGTAGGATCTGCAGTACTAAGCTGTGTAATTTCGGTATGCAGTCAACTGATTTATAATAAACCTATCACAGTAATATATCCATCTTTTAGCGTGGTTTGTTTGTTTTATTTATGTCATGTTCTGTTGGCTGGTTTACTTTATATTTCGTTTTTATGATTTTTATTTTTTTTATACATATTAAAAAATATTTCACTGGAGTAATGAATTTATGATGGTAAATTTATAATAAAAGTTGTAAAAATGATTTCGGTTGCCCTTATTTTATTCATCTCAGGTCTAACTTTGTTTTCAAAGTTGCTACAATACATGGTGCCTCTACAACTTCAAGCATGAGGATGATGGTAGAGACAGTCACTGCAGCTCTGAAATGTGGATAGCAGAAAATCGAGTAACCGATTCTCAGTCTGTGGAAGGTTCTAAATGGAGGGAATCACATGAATATACTATCTGGGATATGCAGGCGTGTGGGGGAATGAGAGAGCAGATTTTCTGGCTACAAAAGCAATAGCTACAGGAACACTCGTACTAGACGAGAGATATTCTGAATACCATTTATGAACAAAGACACAAGGTAAAATGAATTAACATGTGTAAGAATGTGTGAATCAGGCAACGAGGGCCGTATGAGAGGAAGTCGGCACAAGATGGGTGATGCGGTCACCACCACGCCGGCCGCCATTACTTCCCGGGAATGCACCGGTACCCATTCAAGGCTGGGTCAACCTGGGAGTCACAAACAGTATCATATCAATAAATATGTCTTCCTGGGACTGGCCAGTGCATTGACACCCATATACAGGTTTTTTATGAGTTTTGAATGGATTGCAAAACTGATATTTCTGTTTCTTGGGTCAGTAGGGTTGATACAGAGTCTGAACAAACAATAAGAATTTAGACTTACACTACAGCTTAAAATACTATTGCAGGTATATTTAGTAATCTTTAATAAAGGAATATTGTCACAAGGTCACAATTTGGGCACAGAGGCCTGTTTAACATTTGGCCCTTCTAACCACTCATCTTTCACACAGAAAATGTATTTTATTTACGAAGCATGTTAAATTCATTTAGCAATATACACAATACTAATTTTTCACAATTCAATCCTCAATATTTACAAGGATTTGATACTTGTGGTGGGCAGTTCAAAAGTCTATGGTTAAGCACCAGCAAGGAGATAACAATTAGAACTTTGAGAGCATGCATCTTCCCTGTGGCTACATACGGATGTGAGTCGTGGACTATCTCTCAGTCCTTAAGAAAGAGAATAGGGGCTTTTGAGCTGAAATGCTATAGAAAGATTCTCAGAATATCTTGGACATAGAAGAGAAGAAATATTGACATCTTAAAAGATCTGAACATCGAGGAAGATTGGATAATAAACAGCATCCTTTCTCAGAAGCTGAAATTTTTTGGTCATATCAAGCGCCACAACGGATTGGAAAAAACTATAGCAGAAGGCATGGTACCAGGAAGGAGGGGCAGGGGCCGACCGACACGAAGATGGGCACAGGATATAAGTGACTCCTTGAGTATGAAAGTATATCAGGCAGGAGAACTGGCGAGAGACCGAGTTTCTTTCAGGCAGACTGTGATGAGAGCGACATTCTGCAAAGGACCTGCTACATGATGATGATGATGGTGGGCAGTTCAGAAAACGACCGATCTCACGGCTTTCAGACTGTGGTACGACAGTCACACAGTGGTACAGACTGAGGACTCATAGTGTAATGTTCCAGTAGTTAGCAGTGGACACACTCCAACCAGCCTCCATTGTGGAGTTGAATATGTAAAAAAAAAATAATATACTAATATTTAGTCATCATCATCATCATCATTCTGTAACACTATATGTCGTTGGGTCACCAATTTCTGTTGACTGTCTGATCAGCTCTCTCCACCTTTGGGGGTCAGTTGAGATGGATTTCATGGTTGCATGTCTGAGGCCTGTCCAGTCAGTCAGGTTCTGTAACCAGGTCTTTCTTGGTCTGCCTCTTCTCCTCTTTCCCTCTACTGAGCCTTGCAGTTCCGATCTATTTAAAACAGCATGGTGCGTTTCTGGCAGTATTTCAACCCTGGCGGGGCCCACTTCTCTCCAACACTAATATTTAGTACAAACGAAAAAGTAAATGACCCTTTTCTACGCCTTCAGCTGTATTGGGCATATAGGGTAGACCTATATTTATAGACCAATTGGCACTCAGTGGGTGATGTGGTTAACATAATGCCAGGCACCTTGATTTTTCAGGAATGTTCCTGGTACCCACTTAAGCCTGGGTTGACCTAGAAGCCAAGGTCTTGAAAAAAGAAAAAAAAAGCCTGGTTCTGTTTGGATTTGAACCCACAACCTTCAGATCAACAGGGGAGTCTCTAGCCGCTAAACCACGGCAACTCACACAAACACAAAAGCACGGATGACAAATATATACACTTGTATATATTTGCATACACACGTCCGTAAATACGTACATGTGGAAACAGTCATTTACTTACAAAGAGTGCGTGAGAGGATAGGACATAAAAGAACTATGGAGACAAACAGCAAAACCTATGATGTCTGGAGGGAATTGTGTCAGTTCTAATAATAAAGTGACTGTTTAAACTGAAACATTGACTGCAGAACTAATGATACTACTCTCTGAACATACAAATGAGGTGGTCGGAAAAGATGCTTATTGATTCAGATGTAATAGCTAAATCTACAAATGTTCTGCTAATCTTGGATCATTTCGAAGCTTCTGCTCCAGGGCCATATATTTATGGGGTGCCATTTCTTTGTGTCTGAAACATTAAAAATCATTAGAAAATTGTAAATTTTGTTTAGAAGAAAACTGAAAGTTTACCACAGAAAATACTCATCAATATACAATCAGCCAAAAATGTAAACACCATTTAACATATATCATTGGCTGGATTGGCTTTTTACCCCACCAGGACATCACACAAGCGATAAACACCCGATGACACAAAGTGCCACCATGCGGATGAGGATCACCCGTGGAGAGGTCCCAGAAACCGCGTTCAGACATTTGGCCATAATGATGACCTGCCTATATTGCGGCCCCTGGCAATAGCCAGAGTGGGGCTTCAAATAACAAAAAATAACGTCCTAAGAGGGACGTATGGAATACAGATAACATATATCATCTGTGGATGTCATTTTGTCAAATTAGATTAAATGAAAATAAGTTCCTTAACATTTTTAGAATTTTCTGGAAAGGAAAGGTTTTAAGGAAATAAACTGGGTATCTTATGCCATAGTCTGGATAATGCTCCAACAAGGAATCTGCCACAGGATTGCTTTTATGCTTTTATATATTATATGACGAGACTTTGATTTCATTTAGTAACGTTTTCTTTATTGCAAAATAGCACAAAGGTTAATGAACCTGTTTTCATGTAACGTGACTATAAAAGGAATAAAGAATATTACCTCCCATCAAGGGAATAAAGACTATTAACTCTAATCAAGGAAAAACAAAGAATAGTAACTCTAATCAGGGGAGAAAAGCTGGCTACCTCATAATGTAGAAAAGTACTTGGTAGTTAGGATCCTTTAAATCTTTTTTGTCTTTTGGGGTATGCAGGTGTGTAGAGAACTGAAAAGGCAGTTATATTAACTGGTGCTGCACAATTAGGTGGTGAACTGATGCATAACAAACTAGAAATGGTCAAGTCCCTTTGGGAACAAATGAAAATTGCAGAATTTCGGACAGATCATTCTGGTGCATAGAATATCGTGCAGGGATATGACCGACGCTATTTACTCCGAATAAAGGCAAGATGGACACATAATCAAACTGCTACTAGTGTCAATAGAACTGGAACTCCGTGCTAGCTGCGGAAGATGAGGACAGAGCACATATGGGAATGTTCCAAGGGCTGTGATGTTGGTTCTTAACTCAATCCTGTAGAAAGTTCGAGCAGCAAAATTCATCAGGTCATGAATAAATCTGATACAGCCCGCAGGATTTGGCAAAATCACCTTAATTTTTGTTCTAGGGCATGCTGGTGTGAAAGGCAATGAGAGAGGAGACACTCTGACTGGTAGTACGACTATCAGGAATGGATCCTCTATGGACAGGAGAGATATCAATACCATATAAGAGACTAAACGCTGAGAGGCTTTCAGTTTCATGGAAAATGATTTTTCACTGAATAGACTGCATTCCCTGGTTATACCAATTTGAGCTGTGAAAAAGGAAAACCATGTGGCAGCCACCCATTGTTACATCAACCAGAACAGAATGGGAGTTGTTTAAAAACACTTGGAGAGATACTCAGAAGGAGATAGGAGCATTTATGGTCATGTCTGATATGCAATGAAAATGATCTCAAAAATGAACAATAAACAATGATCAACAGCCTACTCTCCACTCGGAGACAGAAGGCAGCAGAAAAAACATACCTGTTAAGCCTGAGTTCTAGAATGTGAATCCTAAACATGGCTTCACTGCAGTAGTTCAGGTACTCCTCCTCATCATCCTTTGACATTGACACTTGGTTCTGTTGGTACCAAGCCTGTTTCTTTTGGAGTTCTTGGGTTTCCTTAAATGCAAACATGGAACTGTTTTACTGTCTGACTAAATTATGTCTCTGTTATATCCCTAACAAACAAAGCATTGCTGAGAAGCATTGACATTTGGATTCCTCACCCCATGTGGGTTCAAGGACCCTATTTGGTTTGGTGGGGGGGGGGGGGGATGGGGGGGGGGGGGGGTTATTAGACTTACTGCCCCCTAAATGATATAAAAGTCAACTAATTAGGGGTATTTCATTCAAAGTCAGAGTGCATCTACCTGAGAGGTAAGGAACCAGCAGTCTGCATACAAATAAGCCAGATCTGTAAAATGGATGTGCCCGCAAAATGCAAATTCTAGAACAAGACAATTTCAGAAGTGGACAAACATCCAGCACTCTCTGCTGGAGTTAACCACTGGTGAATGCTAAGAAGAATAAGAGTAATGAAGACGTCTTTAAAGAAGTAATTCACAAAGACGATTGGTTATCTGCATCAAAAGGAGCCAAATTCAATCCTGTGGACATATCGTGAGATCTAGTGGACATATCGTGAGATCTAGAGTACATATCGTGAGATCTAGTGGACATATCGTGAGATCTAGTGGACATATCGTGAGATCTAGTGGACATATCGTGAGATCTAGTGGACATATCGTGAGATCTAGTGGACATATCGTGAGATCTAGTGGACATATCGTGAGATCTAGTGGACATATTGTGAGATCTAGTGGACATATCGTGAGATCTAGTGGACATATCGTGAGATCTAGTGGACATATCGTGAGATCTAGTGGACATATCGTGAGATCTAGTGGACATATCGTGAGATCTAGTGGACATATCTTGAGATCTAGTGGACATATCAAGAGATCTAGTGGACATATCGTGAGATCTAGTGGACATATCGTGAGATCTAGTGGACATATCGTGAGATCTAGTGGACATATCTTGAGATCTAGTGGACATATCGTGAGATCTAGTGGACATATCGTAAGATCTAGTGGACATATCGTGAGATCTAGTGGACATATCAAGAGATCTAGTGGACATATCGTGAGATCTAGTGGACATATCTTGAGATCTAGTGGACATATCGTGAGATCTAGTGGACATATCTCGAGATCTAGTGGACATATCGTGAGATCTAGTGGACATATCTTGAGATCTAGTGGACATATCGTGAGATCTAGTGGACATATCGTGAGATCTAGTGGACATATCAAGAGATCTAGTGGACATATCAAGAGATCTAGTGGACATATCTTGAGATCTAGTGGACATATCGTGAGATCTAGTGGACATATCGTGAGATCTAGTGGACATATCAAGAGATCTAGTGGACGTATCGTGAGATCTAGTGGACATATCAAGAGATCTAGTGGACATATCAAGAGATCTAGTGGACATATCATGAGATCTAGTGGACATATCAAGAGATCTAGTGGACATATCGTGAGATCTAGTGGACATATCGTGAGATCTAGTGGACATATCAAGAGATCTAGTGGACATATCAAGAGATCTAGTGGACATATCGTGAGATCTAGTGGACATATCAAGAGATCTAGTGGACATATCGTGAGATCTAGTGAACATATCGTGAGATCTAGTTGACATATCGTGAGATCTAGTGGACATATCGTGAGATCTAGTGGACATATCGTGAGATCTAGTGGACATATTGTGAGATCTAGTGGACATATCGTGAGATCTAGTGGACATATTGTGAGATCTAGTGGACATGTCGTGAGATCTAGTGGACATATCGTGAGATCTAGTGGACATATCGTGAGATCTAGTGGACATATCTTGAGATCTAGTGGACATATCTTGAGATCTAGTGGACATATCGTGAGATCTAGTGGACATATTGTGAGATCTAGTGGACATATCGTGAGATCTAGTGGACATATCTTGAGATCTAGTGGACATATCGTGAGATCTAGTGGACATATCTTGAGATCTAGTGGACATATTGTGAGATCTAGTGGACATATCGTGAGATCTAGTGGACATATCAAGAGATCTAGTGGACATATTGTGAGATCTAGTGGACATATCGTGAGATCTAGTGGACATATCAAGAGATCTAGTGGACATATCATGAGATCTAGTGGACATATTGTGAGATCTAGTGGACATATCGTGAGATCTAGTGGACATATCAAGAGATCTAGTGGACATATCAAGAGATCTAGTGGACATATCTTGAGATCTAGTGGACATATCAAGAGATCTAGTGGACATATCGTGAGATCTAGTGGACATATCGTGAGATCTAGTGGACATATCGTGAGATCTAGTGGACATATCGTGAGATCTAGTGGACATATCATGAGATCTAGTGGACATATTGTGAGATCTAGTGGACATATCGTGAGATCTAGTGGACATATCGTGAGATCTAGTGGACATATTGTGAGATCTAGTGGACATATTGTGAGATCTAGTGGACATATCGTGAGATCTAGTGGACATATCGTGAGATCTAGTGGACATATCGTGAGATCTAGTGGACATATCGTGAGATCTAGTGGACATATCGTGAGATCTAGTGGACATATCGTGAGATCTAGTGGACATATTGTGAGATCTAGTGGACATATTGTGAGATCTAGTGGACATATCGTGAGATCTAGTGGACATATCGTGAGATCTAGTGGACATATCGTGAGATCTAGTGGACATATCGTGAGATCTAGTGGACATATCGTGAGATCTAGTGGACATATCATGAGATCTAGTGGACATATCGTGAGATCTAGTGGACATATCATGAGATCTAGTGGACATTTTGTGAGATCTAGTGGACATATCGTGAGATCTAGTGGACATATCGTGAGATCTAGTGGACATATCGTGAGATCTAGTGGACATATCAAGAGATCTAGTGGACATATCATGAGATCTAGTGGACATATTGTGAGATCTAGTGGACATATCGTGAGATCTAGTGGACATATCAAGAGATCTAGTGGACATATCAAGAGATCTAGTGGACATATCTTGAGATCTAGTGGACATATCAAGAGATCTAGTGGACATATCATGAGATCTAGTGGACATATCGTGAGATCTAGTGGACATATCAAGAGATCTAGTGGACATATCGTGAGATCTAGTGGACATATCGTGAGATCTAGTGGACATATCAAGAGATCTAGTGGACATATCAAGAGATCTAGTGGACATATCGTGAGATCTAGTGGACATATCAAGAGATCTAGTGGACATATCGTGAGATCTAGTGAACATATCGTGAGATCTAGTTGACATATCGTGAGATCTAGTGGACATATCGTGAGATCTAGTGGACATATCGTGAGATCTAGTGGACATATTGTGAGATCTAGTGGACATATCGTGAGATCTAGTGGACATATTGTGAGATCTAGTGGACATGTCGTGAGATCTAGTGGACATATCGTGAGATCTAGTGGACATATCGTGAGATCTAGTGGACATATCTTGAGATCTAGTGGACATATCTTGAGATCTAGTGGACATATCGTGAGATCTAGTGGACATATTGTGAGATCTAGTGGACATATCGTGAGATCTAGTGGACATATCTTGAGATCTAGTGGACATATCGTGAGATCTAGTGGACATATCTTGAGATCTAGTGGACATATTGTGAGATCTAGTGGACATATCGTGAGATCTAGTGGACATATCAAGAGATCTAGTGGACATATTGTGAGATCTAGTGGACATATCGTGAGATCTAGTGGACATATCAAGAGATCTAGTGGACATATCATGAGATCTAGTGGACATATTGTGAGATCTAGTGGACATATCGTGAGATCTAGTGGACATATTGTGAGATCTAGTGGACATATCAAGAGATCTAGTGGACATATCAAGAGATCTAGTGGACATATCAAGAGATCTAGTGGACATATCGTGAGATCTAGTGGACATATCGTGAGATCTAGTGGACATATCGTGAGATCTAGTGGACATATCGTGAGATCTAGTGGACATATCGTGAGATCTAGTGGACATATCATGAGATCTAGTGGACATATTGTGAGATCTAGTGGACATATCGTGAGATCTAGTGGACATATCGTGAGATCTAGTGGACATATTGTGAGATCTAGTGGACATATTGTGAGATCTAGTGGACATATCGTGAGATCTAGTGGACATATCGTGAGATCTAGTGGACATATCGTGAGATCTAGTGGACATATCGTGAGATCTAGTGGACATATCGTGAGATCTAGTGGACATATCGTGAGATCTAGTGGACATATCGTGAGATCTAGTGGACATATTGTGAGATCTAGTGGACATATCGTGAGATCTAGTGGACATATCGTGAGATCTAGTGGACATATCGTGAGATCTAGTGGACATATCGTGAGATCTAGTGGACATATCGTGAGATCTAGTGGACATATCGTGAGATCTAGTGGACATATCATGAGATTTAGTGGACATATCGTGAGATCTAGTGGACATATCATGAGATCTAGTGGACATTTTGTGAGATCTAGTGGACATATCGTGAGATCTAGTGGACATATCGTGAGATCTAGTGGACATATCGTGAGATCTAGTGGACATATCAAGAGATCTAGTGGACATATCATGAGATCTAGTGGACATATTGTGAGATCTAGTGGACATATCGTGAGATCTAGTGGACATATCAAGAGATCTAGTGGACATATCAAGAGATCTAGTGGACATATCTTGAGATCTAGTGGACATATCAAGAGATCTAGTGGACATATCATGAGATCTAGTGGACATATCGTGAGATCTAGTGGACATATCGTGAGATCTAGTGGACATATCGTGAGATCTAGTGGACATATCTTGAGATCTAGTGGACATATCGTGAGATCTAGTGGACATATCGTGAGATCTAGTGGACATATCATGAGATCTAGTGGACATATTGTGAGATCTAGTGGACATATCGTGAGATCTAGTGGACATATTGTGAGATCTAGTGGACATATTGTGAGATCTAGTGGACATATCGTGAGATCTAGTGGACATATTGTGAGATATAGTGGACATATCGTGAGATCTAGTGGACATATTGTGAGATCTAGTGGACATATTGTGAGATCTAGTGGACATATCGTGAGATCTAGTGGACATATCATGAGATCTAGTGGACATATCGTGAGATCTAGTGGACATATCGTGAGATCTAGTGGACATATCGTGAGATCTAGTGGACATATCGTGAGATCTAGTGGACATATTGTGAGATCTAGTGGACATATCGTGAGATCTAGTGGACATATCAAGAGATCTAGTGGACATATCGTGAGATCTAGTGGACATATCGTGAGATCTAGTGGACATATCGTGAGATCTAGTGGACATATCAAGAGATCTAGTGGACATATTGTGAGATCTAGTGGACATATCGTGAGATCTAGTGGACATATCGTGAGATCTAGTGGACATTTTGTGAGATCTAGTGGACATATCGTGAGATCTAGTGGACATATTGTGAGATCTAGTGGACATATTGTGAGATCTAGTGGACATATCGTGAGATTTAGTGGACATATTGTGAGATCTAGTGGACATATTGTGAGATCTAGTGGACATATCGTGAGATCTAGTGGACATATCATGAGATCTAGTGGACATATCATGAGATCTAGAGTACATATTGTGAGATCTAGAGTACATATTGTGAGATCTAGTGGACATATCGTGAGATCTAGTGGACATATCGTGAGATCTAGTGGACATATCGTGAGATCTAGTGGACATATCAAGAGATCTAGTGGACATATTGTGAGATCTAGTGGACATATCGTGAGATCTAGTGGACATATCGTGAGATCTAGTGGACATTTTGTGAGATCTAGTGGACATATCGTGAGATCTAGTGGACATATTGTGAGATCTAGTGGACATATTGTGAGATCTAGTGGACATATCGTGAGATTTAGTGGACATATTGTGAGATCTAGTGGACATATTGTGAGATCTAGTGGACATATCGTGAGATCTAATGGACATATCATGAGATCTAGTGGACATATCGTGAGATCTAGAGTACATATTGAGAGATCTAGTGGACATATCGTGAGATCTAGTGGACATATCGTCGTGATCTAGTGGACATATCGTGAGATCTAGTGGACATATTGTGAGATCTAGTGGACATATCGTGAGATCTAGTGGACATATCGTGAGATCTAGTGGACATATTGTGAGATCTAGTGGACATATTGTGAGATCTAGTGGACATATCGTGAGATCTAGTGGACATATTGTGAGATCTAGTGGACATATCGTGAGATCTAGTGGACATATCGTGAGATCTAGTGGACATATTGTGAGATCTAGTGGACATATCATGAGATCTAGTGGACATATCAAGAGATCTAGTGGACATATCGTGAGATCTAGTGGACATATTGTGAGATCTAGTGGACATATCGTGAGATCTAGTGGACATATCGTGAGATCTAGTGGACATATCGTGAGATCTAGTGGACATATCAAGAGATCTAGTGGACATATCAAGAGATCTAGTGGACATATCGTGAGATCTAGTGGACATATCGTGAGATCTAGTGGACATATCGTGAGATCTAGTGGACATATCGTGAGATCTAGTGGACATATTGTGAGATCTAGTGGACATATCGTGAGATCTAGTGGACATATCGTGAGATCTAGTGGACATATTGTGAGATCTAGTGGACATATTGTGAGATCTAGTGGACATATCGTGAGATCTAGTGGACATATTGTGAGATCTAGTGGACATATCGTGAGATCTAGTGGACATATTGTGAGATCTAGTGGACATATTGTGAGATCTAGTGGACATATCATGAGATCTAGTGGACATATCATGAGATCTAGAGTACATAATAATAACAAAGAAAGTTGAAGGAAGCAAAAGGCAGAGGGGACTAAAAGAGAGGAACCTGGACAGTTTTGCATCTTGTTGCAGAAAAACATCTGGATCAGAAATGACTGGCCATACATGACTTCATGCAACAGCTTCACTTAGGCCATTCAGTAAAACAATCTATACTGCAGTGGATTTCAAGTCATTATGGGTTGAAAGGCAATGACATAGCAGAAAGTTTGGCCAGAAAAGGCAGTAACATGGTATAATCAAGTAATGACTTAACCCACCAAGAGACTAAGACATTAATACAAGCAAGTATTCAAGAAAGATGGCTGGATACACACACAAAATTGTATCCTCAAGACTCACTTCATCGCCTCTCTAGAGAGGGATGTGTTATATTCAGACTAAGAACAGGGCACAACAGACTTCGCCAACATATGTTTACACTTTTAGGTGTAGACAACACGGAGACGTGTCCCTATAGCTTGGCACCGGAAAATGCTGGGCATGTGCTCCAAACCTGGCAACTGTATGCTGCCAACAGAGACACAGTCTGGCCTGTTCCAAACCCAGCGAAGACAAAGATGTATGGAACACAAGGATATATAAACTGCTCAATTTTCATAAAGGCTACCCGCCTCCTGATATAAGTTTTCTGACTCAAGGATTGATGAAAAATAAGAAGACTGAAAAAAAACCAAAATAAAAATGTCTACTAAAACTCACCATCTCAAATCGTGCTTGGATAAGATTTGCCTTATCAATCAGACGCTGCTTCAAGTCTGCCAAACAATCTTCCTTGAGTTTGATTGCTTGTGCTCTATTAATTTTCTCTGGGTCACCCATCTGAGCCAGGAATGGAGCCAGGTAATCAATTTCCGTTTCCTGTCTTCTCATCTTGGCCTCCTTCTGTTGCTTCTCCTATATCAAATACAATCAAGATAATTTAATTTCAGAATATATTTGTTTCTCCCAATAAATCAGGTGCCATCTCCCAATGAAGACTGGCTTCAACAGATCTTTTTGTCCTGGATGTGCACACTCTTATACTGATTGATGTTATCCTCCCATTTATGTTACTGTCTGCTTCTTGCTTGCCTGCCTTCAATCTTTCCTCCAGTGTGGTTTCTGATTCTCTATTGAATGCGAGTATTAAGTTGAAAAGAGACATCTGAAGTGAGCTTTATATTTAGAATCTGTCCAGTTTATTTTGTTTCTGTTTCTATTTTTCTGAGTTAAATACTTGGCCTGTCATAGCTTTAGCAAGAATTAAATCTTTGTTTACCACTCAAAGGGAGTACATTATACCAAGTTATATACTTTTTCTTTAATCCAAACTGGAGCATAGGCTCACAATCAGCTCATTCCAAGCAATAAATCTGCTGCACAGTTAGCTTTGCAGCTCAAACATTTTACAGAATAGGGTCATCATCATGTAGCAGGTCCTTTGCAGAACGTTGCTCTCATCACAGTCTGCCTGAAAGAAACTCAGTCTCTTGCCAGTTCTCCTGCCTCATGTACTTTCATACTTAAGGAGCCACTTATATCCTGCGCCCATCTTCATGTCGGTCGGCCCCTGCCCCTCCTTCCTGGTACCATGCCTTCTGTTATAATTTTTTCCAATCCGTCGTGGCGCTTGATATAACCAAAATATTTCAGCTTCCGAGAAAGGATGCTGTTTATTAGCCAATCTTCCTTGATTTTCAGATCTTTAAAGATGTCTGTATTTGTCCTCTTCTTTGTCCAAGATATTCTGAGAATCTTTCTATAGCATTTCAGCTCAAAGGCCCCTATTCTTTTTCTTAAGACTCACATCCAGGATAGGGTAGCCAGCTATACAACCTTTAGGCACCTCTTATAACATGTTGGAGAGGGTACAGTTTGACTGTTATTTGCTCTCTCTATGGGTCCTAGTAATATGGAAGATGCTGGTTCATTGGCAGATTCCTAATTTTCACTTTTCTGGAGAGTAGTTAGCCAACTGTAGCTCTGCTGGCATGCAAATTTATGAACATTTGTCACTTTAATTTCCTTAAACTCTTTGTGTACCAAGAGATGCTCCACAATTTCTTTGACATTTCAGACATCACCAGTCAATATGGTGCCACCTCCACAATGAAGTTGGCTGAAACTGATCTTCAACATAATCTGCTGGTAGACTCTCACACTGCTGTAGTATCTCTCTTAACTCTTTGAGTCCCAGAGGGTTTAGCATCACAGGCCCCTATGAACCTATGAACGTTTGATGCGTTCCTTGGGACTCAGAGAGTTAATGTTAATTTGTACTGCTGTCTGCCTTTGCTCACTTGCCTACAACTTTTACTTCATGCGGTTCTGATAAAAGTATTACAGCTGAAATATTTCACATTACTTACTTCTTTTATAATGTTATCTTATCTAACCAATTATTAAATTTTAAAATCTGTCCTAATTATTTCTGTGACACCTCAATACCTTTACTACTTACTGTAACTTTAAGCCAGTCTGACCTGCTTGATATGTTAGTACTGTAACCAACCTATTAAATACACATTTCCATAATGTGTAGTAATAATCTTGTCATCCTTTTGTGGGATGCAATTTTTCGTTATTTGAAGCCCTACTCTGGCTCTTGCCAGGGGCCATAATCTAACCCAGCCATAAATATGGTCTAATGGCTGAATGCAGTTTCTGGGACCTCTCCACGGGTGATCCTCATCCACATGGTGGCACTTTTTGTCATGAGGTGTTTATCACTTGTGTGATGTCCTGGTGGGGTAAAAGAAGATAGATAGATAGATAGATAGATAGATAGATAGATAGATAGATAGATAGATAGATAGATAGATAGATAGATAGATAGATAGATAGATAGATAGATAGATAGATAGATAGATAGATAGATAGATAGATAGATAGATAGATAGATAGATAGATAGATAGATAGATAGATAGATAGATAGATAGATAGATAGATAGATAGATAGATAGATAGATAGATAGATAGATAGATAGATAGATAGATAGATAGATAGATAGATAGATAGATAGATAGATAGATAGATAGATAGATAGATAGATAGATAGATAGATAGATAGATAGATAGATAGATAGATAGATAGATAGATAGATAGATAGATAGATAGATAGATAGATAGATAGATAGATAGATAGATAGATAGATAGATAGATAGATAGATAGATAGATAGATAGATAGATAGATAGATAGATAGATATGTTAGCCCTCCCCAATTTACCCAGATAATTATTACTGCAAGTGTTTGGGGTAGCAAAAAGATGAACATGTATTTTAAAATATGTATGACCTCCTCAAACAAAAGAAACAATTTCTTCTATCTTGTTGTCAATATTATAAAACTTATCTGTATATACATTTATTGTCTCTTCACTTGATATCACACATAAAAGTGACAATAGTAAAATATCTATGAATGCATAATTTATTATATAAACATACCAGTTCTCTTCTGTGTTTCTTTGCCTTCTCATTTCTCTCAGTATCATACACAGAGATCTCAAGTTCTGTTTCTATCTCTTCTTTGTGTCTGTTGTTAAGGATTTCCTTCACCTGTTTATATATATTAAATATATATATATATATATATATATATATATATATATATATATATATATATATATATATATATATATATATATATATATATATATATATATATATATATATATGTATATATATATGTATATATATATATATATATATATATATATATATATATATATATATATATATATATATATATATATATATGTATTTTTAAAAGCAAACATAATGTATAGTTTGTAAAGATTAAAAAAGATTATAGTTTAAAAATGCCATTAAACACTATATTTGTTTTTGTCCAAACAAATAAGTATGTGTTGAATTTTTAATTTTAGGTGAAACTAACATAGATAACATTTTTTATTACAACTTTTAATACCAGAACATTTAGAAAAAATAAATTATATTACTGGTTGAATGGTAATGAAGTATGTAAGATTTTAAAGTGCTTAACAAAATTTGTTACTAAAACATAATTGCTGTACAAAACTTGAGCTGCAGCTTGATGTTAAAAAAGAAATAAAATATTAATTATAAAATCCTAATTCCTGTTTATTAAAAGTAGACAGATCACAGAATACAAAATCAAACATTAAGAGCGGCAGCAGAAAAAAAAATGCTCATGGTTAATTCTATCAGGTATATTAATTACTGGAAGCCACTGAGGTTATTTAGCAAGAGAAATAATAAAACAAGTAGATCTTTTTTATTTTTTATGTGACAGTCCTTAAAACAGTGGTTAACATGTTTTGGGTTACAGCTAAACTGCAATATATATGCACCTCTCAGACGCAAACACCTAAATAGTCACCTTGTATGAGGGGCTTATTCGGATGGCAGTGGGTCTATTCTTGTTCCCTCTGAAAACAGGACCCCAGAACCCAAACAGAGATTTTAAAAAAGTAAAGGATCCTTTTCCACACCTTTAGGCGTATAGGGCATATAGGGCTAGACCTATATTTTTATAGACCAATCGGTACAAGATGGGTGATGTGGTCAGCATCACGCCGGCCACCTTTACTTTCCCGGGACTGCACCCGGTACCCACTCAAGGCTGGGTCGACCTAGGAGCCAAGGTCATTATTGAAAAAGTCCGGCTCCGCCAGGGAGCAAACCCACGACCTTCCGATCCGCGACCGGCGTCTAGCCGCTCGGCCACGGCGACTCCCTTCAAACAGGGATAGCAGATACTTATTTAAGCAATGGAAAATAGAAGAGAACACAGGATGCACTAGACCAGTGGTCCTGATTAAATTAGACCCCTTTTATTTTAGAAGGTCTGCCATGCCCCCCCCCCCCCCTCTTTTTAATAGTTATTCAGTTTAAAAAAATAAAAAACCAGAAGGGAGTTGGGAGTTTAAAAAAAAATTTATATCACAGACCCCTTAAATTTGTTTTGTGGATTCCTGGAAGGATCCCTTAAGACCACAGTACTAGTCAGTTTAAAAATAAAACATTGAAAACTAGGCAAACCAGGATTTGAACCTGCTGCCTACAAATGATAAAAAGACTTTCTCAAGAAACCAGTGTACTTCAACACAGCCAACCTGACATCTGTATTGAAATAGACTCTACTTTAGTAAGGAGCTGTTGTCATGTTTAAACTATATATGTTTCAGATTTTTAGATTGTCTTAGGTCAGTGGCTCTCAAGTTCCTAACGCCGCGACCCCTAATAGGGTTTCCTCATGTTGTGGTGACCCCCAGACAATTATTTTCCTTCGTAAATTCAATAAACATGTGTTTTTATATGGTCTTAGGTGAAAGGGTAGTAACCGGCAGGCTGAGAACCGCTGTCTTAGGTGCTTCATAATTTCTACTCTGCTTTACTTCTGTGAGTAAAATTCTGTGAAATTATTTCCCTTATTGAATGCCTCAAGTCTCAACAATTCTGTATCATCACTTAGTGAGGCCAGCATGATTATGTTCAACTACTTACAAAATCTTATTTCCTAGTTCAACCGGACCTAAAATGGGTAGCAGAAAATGTACTGGGAGATAAAAGAAGCCAGTATGAAGCTGACAACATATTCCATTCAGTGTCGATTGGTCTACAGAAATATATATCTAATCTCCCATACCTGATGTGCCATTGGCATAAAGAAGGGTCCTTTACCTTGTTTTAAAATATATAAAAAAATTTTCATTACAATAACAAACCAACTCCTTAACCTGTTACCCAAGAAAGCCTTTTTTTCCCCCCGACATATATGGGTTTTTTATTAGGTCCTTGGGCAGTGGCTTCTTGGCCAATATAACAGCTCTGGTGCTGGCTTTAACTGCAGACTAGACATGGTTGGTATGACCCCCCACCCACCCACGCACGCACATACGCACACACATACCACCCCCCCCCCCCCAAAATAAAAATGCCAGATATAAGAAATTGAAAACAATGGAAAGCATTTATTATTTAAAATTGTGAAGTCGTCGCTGCATCATAATAACCTCATTTGATGTCACTTTACTCACCATGGCTAAGTCAGTAAAAACCGCATATTTTATGGTCAAAGGGGTACAATATTTATAACGTACACTACGACGTCACGGGAGACGTTCCAATAAATTCCAGGGTGTTGAGGTTGAGGTTTTTCCCATCGAAGTTCGCATCGCAAAAGCGCGCGCTTGCAGAGCGCGAGCTTGACTAAGACGTGTGTTTACCACTCTTTGTCGCGTCAGTCTTTATCTTTGTTTGCCGATCGTTCCAGCAGCAGTCACGATGAGTTTTCTACAACTAGTTGCATCTGTACAAGACTAGGAAAGCAGCATTGCCTTCCTGCAACAGCATGGCATTCTGCACAGAAACAGAAGTTGCAGAAACAACCATCAGATGCTGCTATCGCTGTCTGGAAGACATGACCGTTGGCGCTGTAGAAAGTCCACTTGTCGTCTGGGCATACCACTACGGCAAGGTACATAGCTGGAAGGGTCACGGCTCCCGTACAGACAGATTATTCTTTTTATATACTGCTGGTCTCATGAGATGACAAGCATTCAATTTTGCCAAGTAGAGCTGAGCATGTCGCCGGATGCGACCGTGGAATGGAGCAACTACTTACGGGAGGTTTGTGCCAATACATTGTTATTGAATCCTGCAGTGATCGGCGGAGAAAACACCACTGTTGAAATAGATTTTTTTTTTTTTTTTTTTTTTTTTTTTTAAATCGATCACCGGCTGTGAATTCCAGTGGAAGGTCCAGGTTAATCGTCCGCTTGGACTTTTGGCTTTCACCTGGACCTGATTTTTGCGTGTACAACCGTTTTTCATTTCCCTGCCTCATGGGCAGCTGTACTCCGACTTCGAAGGAAGACGTCAGGCCTATTTCTAGGGTGACTGTGGCCATTGTTTTGTGTGGGTCGAGACGTTGCCTGATTTGTGTGGTGTCCACTTTGTCTCCTTCGCCGCAGGTATTGCCCCTGGAGTACCCCTTTGGGGCAGCCTCCTGTGGAACAGTTAGCCCTCAAGGGAAGGCAGGGGCAGATCATGGGCATTCCCCGCCATCCAAGGAGGCTTCCATGCATGCAGAGCCGGCACATGGCGCTCTGGTTCTGGGCTCACCCAAGGAATCGTCACGTCCTGCACATGCCTGCTTAACCTCACAACCGTATCAGGCCTCCTGCTCGACAGGGGCTGCGCCCTCTTGAAGTCAGCGGGGAGCAGCCCGTGGGTTTTGGACTTTTGTGACCACACAGATAGGTACATTCTTTTTTCTTCGCACGTTAGATTTCTTTGACGAGCCGTTAGCCTGACAGAATTTTACATCCTGCATCAGGCATATCGTTATCAGTTTTGTCCCAACACTCGGGCGAGTGGGGTCTTTGGGTGTGGACATTCGGTCTTTTTCAGTTCAATACAAATTTTGATGGTCAGATTTTGATCCGTATGATCTAGTTTTGTCGGACATTTAGGCTTAGCCATCCGATGGATGGTTGCTGTTGTGGTGTACCTCAGCGCGGTGACGACGACACTGAGGGTTAACCGAGGATGTACATGAATGGCCAGCCTATGGATGGTTGCTGTTGTGGTGTACCTCAGCGCGGTGATGACGACACTGAGGGTCACCTGAGGATGTACAAGGATGGTCAGCCTATGGATGGTTGCTGTTGTGGTGTACCTCAGCGCGGTGACGACGACACTGAGGGTTAACCGAGGATGTGCAGTGAACAATGTTCTCTTTACTCCGCAGTCCTCCAACCAAGGGTTGCAATTCTGGCTGTACGTTTGGCAAACCTACTCATGTTCCTAATGAGTCTTGATAACATTTCTCACCCAAGCGTTTGGGGGCGGGCTGATGAGGGCCACAAGGACACATCACCTCTGGGGGCCGCCGAACTCCGAGATCCTCTGACAGCTCTGTTAATGCTCATTTGAGACATTATCCGTGGCGCACGACGAGGACGTGCTGTAGGGGTCTTGCGTGAGGTTCCGTACAACCAGGATAGTGAAGGACTGGCGCCCGAGTGACGTACGGAGTATCTCCTTATACACATCATGTTGGACTTAACTTCCCCTCACGCCTGTGACATAAATCACCGCGCCACGTTGAAATAGATGAAAGTTTCTTTGCAAGACGTAAAAAATCATGTTGGACGTGTGTTTCCACAACAGTGAGTATTTGGCGGAGTCTGTCGCGAGACGGGTGAATGCTTTCTGGTCTGTGTCCCAGACAGAAAAGCAGAGACGCTTCTGCAGATCATTAGCACAAACATCAGACCTGGAACGACAGTAGTTTCCGACATGTGGCATGCATACAATGGAATTGAGAATATTCCTGGATTGACGCATCTTACAGTCAATCACTCCATTAATTTTGTTGACCCCATCACAGGTGCTCATACGCAATGCATTGAATGTTTGTGGAGGTCGGCAAAGGAGAGAAACAAGCGCCAGAATGGGACCCACAGACATTTATTAGAATCTTACATGTGTGAGTTTCTGTGGTATAGGTGGGCTCAACGTGCGGGTGGCGACGTGTTTACGACAATTCTGGCAGACATAGCCAGATTCTGGCCGCCGCAAGACCACTAGTCTGTCGACTCTTCTGCCCCTGCAGTTCGACCTCTGTCAAGATCTACTAACGTGTAAAATTTATGTGATTGTCAATTCGTGCGTGAACCCAACAGTATACATCTAGAATTATTGGCCTTTTTAAGACCCCCCCACAGTACCCCAATTGGCATTTCCTGCGATTGCACACAGAGTTCACATAGCCAAATTGCACATTTTACACGTAGTTAAAAAAAAATGTTGTAACAACAACAAAAACACACACACACAATTGACATTTCATTAAAAAAAAAATTCATAATGGAAGAAAAACATCATGTAGGGATTTAACGCGGCATCTTTCATTTATAAGGCGGATGTGATACCAACTACACCATACAGTCACATGTTGAAATGTTCTAAAAACATGACTAGTATTGTAGACCAACAAGCAGCCGACTGCGCACCAACAGACAGAAATATGTCACACCATAAGACACTAGATGAACACTCAACAACAGCAGCACACAGCAGCACACTTGCACCCCTTGAAATAATGGACTGTCAAGTCAGCTGTGGAATTCCCATGGATTCCCTGTGTTTGGGGTACATTATAAATATTGTACCGTCAAGGGAAAGGAAAAATGTTAATTCTCTGCTCCATTTGTATTTATTTCTTTATGTAAGAACAAAACTGTTTTGCATGAAAGTAATATTAATTATTTTAGTGAAATAAAATGCTGGATTACACTGATAAAGTTAAACAAAACAACATTCACACAAAACAAAATGAATGAACATTTTTTAGCAAGACAGTTATGCTAAGCACTAAATGTGACATTATTTCAAAAACAATATACCTCTTCCTCTGACTCTCGAACTGCTTCTGTAGCCAAATGTTCAATTTTTAAAAGGTTGAGAAGGTTCTCATATAACACCACCTGCTTGCTGCGATCAGCATTTGGATCGACCTAGAAAATAACATTTGGTATAACTTGGTAAAACAATCAGTCTGTGAAGCCTCTCATTATCAGCAGATAATGCAAAGTGGGATGTTGTAAACATACTTTTTTAAAACTTGGAAATCATATTTAAGAAAACACTATATCAGACACATATACACCCAGATTTATCGCACAGAAAGACACAAATGGAAACATTTTGCAAAATTAACTGTTTCTTTCCTAAAATATTGCTGCTGCAAAGTATTAGCACCAAAGGTCAGAAGAAAATGACAAAATAAGTAGGAATAGTAACTACAAGAGATTGAAGTAGAGTAGTGAAAAAACAGTGACATTTTTGTATGTCCTATAAGTGATTGATCAATACTGCATCCTGCTGGCTATATCATGAATTAACACAACTAAAAAAAATTATAACTCTTAAAGGCCAGGAAAATAGTATATGACACCAATATTCAAAATGTTTATGACTGTTGGCCAGTATTCATGGCAAATAACTGTTGCAAATCATAACAGTCTTCTGGAATTAATCTTGATCTTTATTTTGGGAGAGGGCACTTTGTTTTTTAAACCTTGTTCAACCTGCTCCTCTCCGTCTTAGTTATAATTAAGGTATTTCACTTGCCCTGTTAGTCTTTGCTTACTCTTTGTGTCAGTTGAGTCCTGCCTTGCACCATTTGTTCGCCACCCTTGTCAGTTAGTTGTTTTTTTTAGCCGAGAAGATTTGTGGTGAATTAAGGTATTAAACTGTTTATGTTCCCGTACAACCATTTACAACTTCTGTCTGATAAAGATCTTGAATACAAATAAGAAAACACTCACAGCTCTTAAGAGTTAAAATCTGGATTGCAGACCAACAGGGCAGATCCCACATACTCAAGTTCAACATCCAACGAAGCTGTAATTGGGGCACCCGTAATGGCTAGCCCAGCCAGGTGTAACCAGGGCTCCCAGTAGGATTTTTATCAAATCCCAAGCTAAGCTAAAAACCTAGCAATACATAAGCAAAAAAAAACAATAACCCAAGACTGATTAAAAAGTACACATTTTATAGCTACAAAATTAAACATGTACCCACTTTTATATAATGATATATTTAAAAAAAAAAAATGACTCCAAAATCTGAACCCAAAGCGTCATTGAAAAAACAGATCTTGGGGAAAAAGCCAGTATTGGTAGCCCTGGGTGTTACCTGCAGTCCTGTGTGGGTAAGTAATTCCGAGGGTAATTTTGTAATTTAAGATATGAGTTGGGTTATCCTCTAAAACTCCGGTAGGTGCTCAGATTCACCTTTCAACAAATACATCATCTTGAAGCTAACAGGGAGAATTGTTGGTTATTCTGAAGGTAACCCATTTAACTGATGGTTTGTTCAACATTAAGTGCTCCACTCAAGTAGCTTTAGAGAAATTATCAGTTTACAGACATCAAGTGCTTTGTTCTGACAGTGATAACATTACCTGAAATGTTTCATGCATATCTGGTGACCAAGGCAACATGGCACCCTTTTCATCCCAGTTCTGGGGTTTAATAAACTCTCTAGTTGAAGAGGCAATGTTGGCCTTATCTGTATGATAAGTAATTTGTATCTTATCTTCAGCAACTAAATGTATCAGTTCTTGTATGTCTTCATTGGCTGGTTTATTAGGGTTTCGTTCAAATCTCTGAATCATTTTCTGTGGAGAAAATATTTTAGCCACAATATATTTTATGAATTTATATAATCTTTTTAATCATGTGCCTTAGCTGAACAGTACATGTATATGTGTTCCATTACAACTGTATCTGCTGTGGTTTTGGCAGATTCAATCGCTGACTGCCTTGCCCTGAATTTACTTCTTGCATAACTTAGATATTACATAGCATCAAAGAGAACACTTACCTATTATAAAATCCATACTGGTATAATGATCAGAAACATGAAAATCAATAAAACAGTCACCAATAAACTACAAACTTTGTTTTTTAAACTTCATTTGTCCTTAAAAGGATAGCTAATACTTTGTGGTTTATAATTAGGCTGTGATATATGTACCTTTCGACCCAACACATTCAATTTAACTTCTGCAAACCCTTAATTAGACAAAACACTTCAAAAAAGGGCAGTGGGTCAATTCTTCCTCAGCTCCCCCCCCCCCCTTGCCCCCCATTGGACCCCTGAACACAAATGGGGACAAAAAGGACTATAACAGTATAACAGAATCAGTTCTGTAGAGCATAGGGAGAGCAGTAAAGAAATTCAAGTGAATCAAAAGGTAGTGATAAATAGATGCTGCAACCTTGGATATAACAGAATTAAGAAATCTGGTAATACCTTCACTGGAACCCACAGGAGAAAGACAATAAAAAAAAGAAGACCTGAAAGAAAAAAGGGAGAGGTGAACTAGAAATGGTGATAAACAATATAGGAAAGATGGAGACAGCCGAGAGTTAGAACAGTTCACATTAGACATTTTGTATTACTATTTTTTTAAAGTTGCACTTCTACTATGTATGCTTGCCATCATGGTGACTCAATAGGCCATATTTTTAAAGTCAAGTAAATAGGAACAATTCCCTGATGATGTCTAGTACAGCTTTATAAAAACAAAGTTATAATCAGGGAGTCTAGACAAAGGATTTGAAACACATTATAAGTTGCTTAGTAAATTTGGAGAATAGCTTATCATACACAATGTGTAGTTTAACTCTTTTAGGCCCAAGCAACGCTGTGAGTGTTGATTAAAAAGTTCCGATTTGCCCTAACAACACTGTCAGCATCGGTCGTGTATCCTGTACATATTGCTTCGCACATGGCTCCTTTCTTGTTTCGAATGTTTGAAACTACAATTAAAGTATTCAGGGAAGGTAACTCTAATGATTTCCTTTTAATAACATTCCGTATCCCAAGACACATGTGCATAGATTGATCGGATTCATAGCTACATTATTTTCAACAGTGCATTTTCTAAGTTCGTTTTCGAATGCCATGAATACCAATGTTCCAACCACAAGTACAGGTCACAGAATGCGTATTTCTGCTGCCGAAGCTCTGAAATTGTTTCAGTCAGATGTTTTTAACTCTGATAATGATAATGAAAATTTAGATTTTTTTGGGAAAGTGATTCAGACTGTGAATTTTTCCCCATCGGCAGCTGAATGATCAGCTGTTTGGGAATCTAGCGATTCTGATGAGTTTACATGGAAAATGTTCCATTGCTACCACATTTAGGGTGTAAGAGAAAGAAAGTGCTCCAAACAAATAGACAGAACTCATTGCAGTTTCTTTTATGGTTTGTATTACTGTCATGGCCTATACTTCCAGTACTACATTGTCCTGTACAGCATCTCATTTACTCAGCAGCAAGTTAGCACTTGAATGATGTAGCCATTACATGACTGGGTGAAAAATATTGGCAGAACACCTGAAAACATCCACAGTCCACCTGGAAATTTTTGCAGACCACCTGAAAATTTTTGCAGACCACCTGGAAATTTTCACAGCCCACCTGGAGATTTTTGCAGACCACTTGGAAATTTTCGTAGAAGACCACCTAGAAATTTTCATGGACCACCATCAGTACAAGGAGAACAGAATGAAGAACACTGATTTACGACACTAGTAAATAATGTTAACAGAAAGTTATCACTTCTGAATTAATAACTTCAATATTTGTAAAGGACTTTGCAAGCATGCAAGCACACATAAATATGTGTAGGGATATTCACACAGACTTCATGAAAAGAAAGCTAAAGAAAGACACTGAAATAAAAAAAACTGGTTTGGCAAAAAGGCATAACTAATGTAAAATGAATAATAAACAAATAAAGAAATCAAAATCACCCCCCCCCCCGCCCCCTCCAATGCACACATGCATGCACGTGCTATCACACACCCATGTGTACATCATGTGAAATTGATATTGCTAATAGCCCATGTTTGCTGACATCGCACATAATGATGATTACACGCACACCCCACCTCTCTATATATATCAAGAGGGGGCGTTGTGGTGTAGTGGCTAGATGCTTGCCTGCTGGCCTAAAGGTAATGGGTTCAAATCTGAATCAGGCTGGATTTGTTTTAAAATGACCTTGGCCCCCAGGCTGACTAAACCTAAAATGGGCACAAGGTAAAGTCTTGGAAAGTATCCACTGAAAAAATGTAGGTCTAGCAAACAATACACCTACAGGTTTGGTAAAGGGTCTTTTACATTATATACACACATAGTTAATAACATTAAAGGCAGTATAGTAATGATGTGACTTATAAATATACAAAATATGAATTATGTTTTTTTAAAAACTTACAAAAATAGGCCTAGAGTTACTGTTTGCCTCCCCAATCTGAGGGCCAAATTTTCTTACTCTCCTGCCAAATTGGACAAACTTGTAAAAAAGGAAATCATCCCTGTTTTTTAAGTCTTCAGTCATGGTCGAAGGCGTCTCTGTTCGAGTGACTAGGCCATCCACTCTGGCCTCATGGTAGAAATGCATAGTACGATCATTCTCTGCCTCAGGCGCACTGGCTCGGTAATAGTGTTCTAATATTGAAAAGTAATGAGAATTATAGTAATGATCTGAATTAAACTTATCTTATCTCATCACATATCAGCCCTCTTTGACCTTCCTGCCAATTATAGGTTACAAAATCTCAAATATACATGGTTGGAGCATTATTTCTGAGAGATTAGGCACTCCAATAATATTCATTATATTTCATTATTTCTATTACATTTTGGTTTCCCCAGTGGGAGAGTGCTTCTTATATATGAATTTCCAGAGACAGTTAAAATTATGGAATTAATAAAATGCAATTAAGCCCCTGTAACAATGCCAACAAAAACAAGGCTGTGTCATCATCATGTGCCTTGCCGACTGGCCTGGGCGATCATGCCTCTCCATAATCTGCAATCTCCTGCAGCATGTATCAGTTCATGTGCCGACACACCTTCATGCCATGCAACAAGACTGTCAAGCATCTTCTCTCATTGTCTTCCTCTATCCCTCCTTCCACAGATCTTTCCAGTGGTCACAACATGTTCTATTTTCCCTCTTCTCATAACATGGCCAAAAAATGATGACTGTATCCTTCTGATGTCTGTGATAAGTTGTCTTCGGGCTCCCTCCTCTTTCAAAACCTCTTGGTTGCTCTTTTATGGCTGTGATCATAACAGAAAGTCACCATAGCAGCTATGATTGAAAAAGGAGAGCAATACAGACAACAACAACAAAATACTTACAAAAGAGCTTAATATTAATCAACATCTGATCATGTATGCATGGATGCATGTCATTTGTGTTCAGAAAGATACAGTCTGTTTCTGCTTGGGTTTAAATCCATTTTTTGCCAGATTTTGTTTTTCAAAATTCAGACTTGGATCCATGGCTGACCCAACTGAAAATGGGTACCTGATTGTTTCGTGGGAAGTAATGGTGGCTATTTGTACCTTCAAAAAGACAGTTAAAAATCTTTAAACTTGACATACTCCCACAAAGGCAGTCACTAACCTTTAAGATGCTTAGGTCTCCCAGGATGGAAATACTCAGTGATCCAACCAGTTCTGTGGTTATGCACTCTTGTATGGAGTTTATCCTTCCGATGGTCATAGAACTCTTTCCCCATTATCAAGTCTGTTACTAATTGCAGAACAAAAAAACAAAAACTGAAGTTGTAACTAAACTTTAACAAATAGTTGCATTCTTTCACAGTATAAAAATTATCAAAGATTAAATTATTCGATCTGTTTTGTCGCAGTTCTTTATATTTATAAGGATTTATGAGTCAACCATCCTTTTTGTTCCTCTAAGGTTATATTGCACAAATAGTGTATGAAACCGATGGCCATCTTTGTAAATTAATTAGTTGTAAGATTCTACTAGCTTCCTCTTCTTTTATCCTTCTGTCAGAAAACCTTTATCAGGAGGCTGGAAGCCTTTATGAAAGCTATCGTGCAGTCCAAACCTCCCTGTGTACCATACAGCTTGGTCTTCACTGAGGTTAGAATAGGCCAAGTTTCTTCTCTGTTAGCAGCATACCGTTTACAGTTTATGTTTATTTAACAAATCAACATCATGGCACATGGGTGTAATCCATAAGTGCTCCGTTCTACTTCTAACTCAAGCCTGAGTCTGAAGAATCTCAGCACAGAGCACAAACTCTGTTTTACCGGTGAGGATCCTGAAATACTTTGGGTAGATTTTTAACTTCAAATTTTGCCTGGGCAGCGCCGCTAGGCTACTCTTTTTGATTTCAAACTGTCAAACGATTTTTTTACGTGTGCAAGAATACACACGGGTGCCCTATCTTACTACCCAGAGACCAGGGGAAATTACTAGAAGTCCATGTGAAAAAATCCCAACCTTCACTGGTGCTTAAACCCGGTACCTCCAGCACTCATGGCAGACACCATACCTCGAGACCACTCAGTCCCTGACTGTTTACAATGTTTGGGTGCATGCTCAGCCTTTTCAGGTGCAAAGTTGCAAGAAAAACTCATCTCCATGTTTCCTACATTGAAAATCTTGAACATATGTAGGTGAAGTCTGTTGTGCCCTGTCCTTAGTCGGAATATAGTTTTTAGTCAGAATATAAAACATTATTTGTCTCTAGAGAGAAGATGAAGTGAGAATTGGGAAGAATATTTTGTGTGGGTACCAGCCATCTTTCTGGGACACTAGTTTTTATTACTGTCTTAGCTCCTGGTGGTTTAAGTCACAATTTTATTGCATCATATCATTGCTGCTTCTGTCTGTTATTTCATTGCCTTCCAAGCCACACTGAAATCTACTGCATAACAGATTGTTTTACAAAACAGCATATGTGAATTAGCTGTTGCATCAAGTCTACAAACAACATGATTTTTGGGTTAACAACTGCTTGTAGATCTGATTTAGCATCGGTCAGAAATACCACTTTGCTAGATTTACTAAGCTGTTTTCTATTCAGAAAAAGATCATGCCACCAAAGTGCATCTGTGTCTGCTCTGTAGTTGGAAGAACATGAACCTGTTCTTGTAGGTAAAGATTGTTCAGATTTGTTAACCATTTGAGCATTCTATGTATATTATTCTATGTATATTCCTCATCCTCCGATTGCTCTCTTGGCCGAACCATCTGTATAAACTCTTATCAACACTGGTGTTGATAAAGTCTGCCGATCTCTCTGTAATGGACTTCATAGCAGAGCTGCTCATGGCTGATTTAGTGGAGATCTCTGTTATAGTGTTTCTGACTGTTGGCAAGTTATCTCTTAGCCAAGGAAGGGACAGTGATTGTAAGATCTGAATGGGGCATTCACATCTGTAGGCACAAATTTGTTCAGAAAAAAAAGTATTGAAAAATATTGTAGTAATATAAATTTAATCCCTGTGTGGTCTCCAGAAATTCATTTTGAAGAACAAAGACCAAACCCACTGCCTCCCTAACAAGTATATCATAAAAATCGACTAATTATGGGTTTTCCCTTCAAAGTCAGGGTGCATCTGCCTGAAAAACAAGGAATCAGTAGTCTGCATACAAATAAGCCACCAGTGTAAAATGTATGTGCACTCAGAAATCAAGTTCTGGATAAGACCAAATTCCAAGAGTGGACGAACAACTCAAACTTTCTGCTGGAGTTTACAGCTGGTGAATGCTAAGAAGAAGAATATATAGATTTGAAAACAAAGTTACCTGGTTAATATAACTGATATATTTTTCTAAAAATACAGGTGTAAATGTGAAAGTCAATACTTGTAAATCTGAATATTTTATTTATATTAAATGGTAAAAAAGACAGTAAATATTAAATATATATAAACTAACATTCTTTATATACACAGCAAATAATGTAATAGATAAACATACACTCCATGTCATCAAATACTGACAGTCGTAAGACAAGTCCATCTGGTAATAGATAATGTGCAAATTTTTCAAGTTTGGCTTTCTTGTATAGTTTTGTTTTTTTCCCAGATGGACAACGCATATCAAAATCTGCAATTAGAAAAAACAAATATTTATCCATAACTTGATTATTGAGCTACTTGTAATAAAAAGTTATCAAGACATTAATTTTACAAATATAAACAGGTGTGGTCATAATCTTAAAAAAAAATACCTTCATATATTGCATAAACTCAGAAGGCCCATATTCAGTAACATACCATGCATCTGTAGTCTGTTCTAGAAGTTGTGTTTACCTTCACAAATGTGTAACTCAGAAACCATTTTGTGTGAGTTGTTAAAATTATTAAGCAAACTGTTAATAATCATATTAATTTAGGAAATTTTAAAAAATATAAACGAACATCTAGTTTTCACTTTGCCTTATTTGCAATAGATGAAAAAACAGTCACAGATTCAAAGCAAACAATCAGCATGCTTACAGTTAACTGAGTAATGGGAATATTTCAAAGAATCAAATTACACACGTTTCATACTCTTGTGTGGTCATCTCTGGCATTAGAGTCTTGTGAGAACATAATCGTTAATTTTCGGGGGGATAGGCTAACAAAACAATCACGACACATAGCTGCATATGTGAACTGGTTTCCTCACAATCTTCTGTTGCTGTATATTCTATATTTTAGAGGTACATAAATTATTAGTCAAACAAAGATAAAGAAATTTACTGCTTTAAGAAAACAACAGCACGTGTGCAATTGTAAATTATAAAATCATAAGGACATGTGAAATCTAAGGACACAGTCAGAAATGCATGTTGATCCACATAGGAGTTTTCGAGATACTTGTTGAAGTGTGGTGGCACAACTTTTGGAACACACTTTAATACTCGATGTTAATGGGCAGTCTGAAATCACGGCATGGACCATTATCTGTGTCAGGACTGACTGAAAGTATACAAGAGGGAAGGTAAGGGGATAGACATGACTACCAACACCATATAGCACTGACTATAAGAAGAAGGAAAAAAAAAGCATTTTTAATAATGCTGGATTACTAAAAATATATTTGATTGCACAAGTGCCCCTTTGAATTTGTTTTCCAATCAGTTACTGAAGAGGTAAAAAAAATTGTTGGTTACAATCACATTTCCTTCCAATTTGTTTAACTAAATCTTAAAAGGACATGATTAAGTAGAGGGCAGAAATTTTATTCTTCTTTGCTCTAATTTTTAATCATACTGAAGTTCATACACATTCCAAATGAACATAATATATTCAATTAGTCTGTTTATTGTGTCTTACAAAATCTTTCTGTTACTTTTCCACACATATACTTGCACACCTACATTAACATACACATATAAGAATATGTGCTGGTGGACACATATGAGCACAATCATGCACCTTTAATTACTCTGTAAAAAGTTGCATTAACATTTAAAAAAGATTAGACAGTGTCAATGTGAAACTAAAAACCTACTGTAAAATTCACAGTACCTCGTCTTCATCATCAAATCTGTCTGTATATTCATCTTCAACTGGCTCAGGAATGAGAAGCTGTGGCTTGTCTAGGTTTGGAAACATATATTCCCACAGGGTACAGTCTCCGAGATCATAGTTTAATTTCTGAAACAACATGAATATTTTAATTAATGTAATTCATAGCAGAAGGGGGGAGGAGGGAGAGAAGTACTTAGGAAATAGTGACCAGGGAGTGTCTTATCCACAGACTTACTTACTTTCTGACTTATTTACTGACTGACTGACTGAGTGTCTTATCCACAGACTGACTTACTTACTGACTTATTTACTGACTGAATGTCTTATCCACAGACTTACTGACTTATTTACTGACTGACTGACTGAGAGTCTTATCCACAGACTGACTGACTTACTGACTGACTTACCGACTGAGTGTCTTATCCACAGACTGACTTACTTACTGACTTATTTACTGACTGACTGAGTGTCTTATCTACAGACTGACTTACTTACTAACTTATTTAGTCACTCCTCTTCTACCTTGGGGTGTAGAGTTTTGCCAGAGAGATCGCCAGTCATCTCTATCAGCAGTTTTCTTTCTGGCTTTGTCCCATTCTATTCCTCTGTCAGTTAAGGACTGTCGGTTGTCATCTTTCGAGCGCACCCTGGGTCACCCTGGAGATCTGGTTTATCCTCCCGTGCCTGCCATGGTGGCCGATTCTCTCCCATTCTGCATACATGTCCAAACCATAGTAACTGTGACTGATCCACTCGAGTTTTTAAGGCCTGGGTTTCAAGATCCTGACATACTGTCTGATTGCAAACTTTGCCCTTCTTGTCACTTGGACCACTTTTCTCAGATTTATAATTTCTGAGACCTGAAGCTGGCCTGTGTCACCGGGGCCCTCACGGGAAGCAAAGAATAGTGACACTGCACCCTACCAGGCATGTCGTAAGAGGCGACTAAGGGTAGGGTTGGGCTTGAGGTTGGCTACCTCATCCTGTAAAAACCATAGCCACAAAAACCAATCAACCATGGATAAGTCAAAAAGAGAAGCAAATAAAATCCAGCCAACCAAGATGAGGGGAGGCTCTTCAAATAGAAGAAGTATGACACAGTGTGGAGAAAGCCGTAAGGAGTCCGGATCGTTGACTTACCTCCTCTCAGCTAGGAAAACCTCCAGAATTGGCACCTGGAATGTTAGAACTCTCTATGATATAGGGAGAACAATGGAATAAAGGAAGGCCAAAAAACACACGGAGAAGAGAGCTGGAGAACGAGGTTAGAAAGTTTGGGAGGACATGGGGAGAGCTCCATGCAATGGCGAAGGATAGAACGACTTGGCGTGAGTTGGTTGAGGGCCTATGCTCCATTGGGGGATAGAAAGGCAGAAGAAGAAGAAGAAGCTGGCTTCTGTGAGCTGTTGTCACTGCTCATGACTCACACCTATAGGTCAGACACATAGATAGAGCGGTAAACAGCTATTTTCATCCTCTTGCCAATTTCTCTTTTGCTAAGAAATCCTTGGTTTATGGCTTGTAAAAGTCTCCCAGCAGCTGCTTTTGGTTGAGCCAGCTTGGTCTTAATGTGTCCGTTTCGGTCTTTTCGATTTTTCTGTTCGGGGCAAAAGTGTTAATGTGTATGTCTTTGTATGTATCTGTGTGCTTATGTTTCTGTGTATGTATACTTTAGATTATAACAGATGTTTATAGAGTCTCTGTCCTAACTTACATGTTTGATAGTTCTCTATGTTGTTTTTGGCATGAAAAAATGTATATTAATTGTTTAAACATATATTAATTGTTTTATAGATGAGCTAATGGCCAAGAAAAAGAAAGTTCTTTGCACATCATGGGATATGTGTCATAAACCTCATTAATATCAGAGATTTATGTCTATTACAGGTGACATAATTCTAGTCCGGAAATTTTGCATATTAAGTTTCACAAATACTACGTTTTAAAGATTTTCACCTAACATTTTCAAAATATCTTGACTAACATTTAATTTCTCCAATCAATTTATGTTTTTCATATGTTTCATAATACCCTGACTCCTTCAATTTTATATTTCTTTGGTATTCTTTGAATTTTTTCTTCAGCCACCACAGTTTCAATGCCACAATGTGTTACTGCAGGTCTCTATGGATAAGTGGATACCTGGTGTTTTACAAGTCATGGGCTTGTTTCTCAAGCTAATCAGACATTTCATGAGTGGAATTATTCAAGAGACTCCTAGAGATCATCGCTAGAGCTACACATCTGTGCATTGTGCGACAATTTTGGCATGTGACTAGCCACTTTATGGAGACAGACAAGCCTCATGGGATAAAATCTAGTCTCAGGATGTTGATCCTCTCGACTTTAAACTTTAAATGTATTACTCAGAAGGTCTACTTATTGTTATGTTTCACGTGCATACACCAGTGTATGTTTTATATAGCATTCTTTAACACTACTTCCCTATTGTCTGTGGCTTAGGCGTTGCGAATGCACTTCGTAATGCTGGGGTGCCATGTTTGATCCCAGCTGCAGGCCTTGTGCCTTGTGTTGGTTTCAACAGTGGTATCGAGAAGCTGATTGTCCAGAAAGCAATGACAAACTACTAAATGTAAATTTGCCTAGAAAAACTACAACAGCCAAAAAAATGATGGGGCTGGTTCTGCAATGTCCTGTAAAGGATTCGCAACTAACAAACTTTCCCAATTGCAACTTAATAAATGCCACTGATTGGTAATTTTGCATCTAACAAAAGGCTATGGCAATTTTTGTTTTTAATCTTCACAAGACATCCTGCATTAGATGATATGTCTGTTTGAGTTAAGTGTGTTACAGAGACTGAGTAAAACAGTGCTTCTCTTTTTCTGTGTTGGTTCTTAAAATGGTGGCTGGAATATTTTGTTGTGGTCTACAGCTAGGTTGCAATATTTGTGCTTTTCAGCACAACACACTTGATTTCATCAGACAAGTAATTAGTTGTTTTTATGACATGCTTGTTAGGGAAAGGGGAATAGATCTCATTTTTCTTCTCTAAAATAGGGCCCCAGAATTCATATAGGGAGAGTAAAATGTGAACACTACAGCTATCAACACAATCACCAATGCTTACTGCAACACCATCTGAACAGTCTTGCATGCAGACCCAATAGTTGCTATGGTTCCACAAGGACTCAATTCCAAGATACGCTTCATAGTTAGACGTATGAGAAAGTCCAGTGAAAGGCTCAATAAAGAACGTCTCTGGTACTTCACGCTTGCCTGATAAGACAAGAACCCATGAATGAATGCGAAGACCATGAAGAGGATCTGGAGGCGGCTTTTCCAGTTCCTGAAAAATATATAATTTGAAAGGTTACATTTGATACTACTGAACAGAAAACAGTAAACAGTAACTTTGATTCAAAACAGTAAAGTATAGGCATGTTTCCTCATGATGATGAATATTAGACACATTATTTTAGCTTCACCTTCTTCTTTTTTTCTAATGCAGCAATTTTAAATATCTTCTTCTCAGTATTAATTGATTGTAAACTTGTTTGTCCAATTTTGGACTTTGGTCTTGTTCCAGAATTGTTTTACAGATCTGGTTTATTTGTAGGCAGACTGTTGGTTCCTCTTCTCTAAGGAAAATACTCTCCAACTTTGAAAGAAACATTTCTAATTATTCAGCTTTTATGACATGCTTGTTAGGGAAGAAATAGGTCTGTTTACTGTTTTATGTATGTACCTATAGTATAAATAAGGTAATTGTCTTATACAGAGCACACTATTATAGCAAAAACAATTTACACATTATGTTCACACAATGTCTGAACAATATGATACAACACAAAGTACATATGAAAGTGAAATACATATAAGACATTTAAATGTTTTAAATTTCATTTCACGTACTACCAAATTAAAATATAAATGTTACTTACTGCCTGTCTTCGCTCCAGTTCAGCTTTTTGTTTTTCTTCTTCTGCCTTCAGTTCTGCTTTCTTCCTTGCTTCCATTTTCAGTTCAAATCTGCTTAGTAAATCTTTGGGTGGCTTCACTGTATACTTTTTTATTTGCTTCTTCTGCACTTCTTCCTTTTTCTAAAAATTTTATCATTTGCATAATTATTTATTGGTTTAGGAAAAATGTTTAAAAAATGCAATTACATTTAATTTCAGTTTCATATAAGAACTAGCACTCATTCATCATCATCATGTAGCAGGTACTTTGCAGAACGTCGCTATCTCATGGTCTGTCTGAAAGAAACTAGGTCTCTCGTCAGCTCTTCCAGCTCGTGCACCCTTATACTCATGGAATCACTTATATCCTGTCTAGTATTCATTACAAAAAAGTCTGTGTCATCTCCACAGTCAAAGTTGGCTACAGGTTATCACTGTTGTCTTTAAAAGTAAAAGTAAAGGACCCATTTCCCCGCCTTTAGGCGTATAGGGCCTATAGGGCTAGACCTTATATTTTTATAGACCAATCGGCACAAGATGGGTGAGGTGGTCAGCATCACGCCGGCCACCTTTACTTCCCGGGACTACACCCGGTACCCACTCAAGGCTGGTTATACCTGGGAGCCAAGGTCATTTTTGAAGAAAAGTGCGGCTCCGCTAGGGAGCGAAGTTGTCTTTAGAATAGTACATGGCAAAGCCCTGATCTATTCTATGGTGTGACTCTCATACTGCTGTCAGAAAACCAGAAAGAAAGCAAAAAACCAAGAGAAGTCATTACATGTAGATATTTTTCTTAAATGAAATTATTATTTATTATGATTTTTAAAAAAATTTAATTTTCAGTCCTGTAAATTAACATATGTCACTAATTAATACACACCAAATAAATTGTTTATCGCTTATTTTCATCCTCTGATAGACACTATCTTTTTTCATACCCCTACATTGTCTCTATGCACAGAGACAGGTGATCCTATACTCAAAGAAATTAATATATAATGTTTTGTAAATAAAATGTATGATGCCATTGCTTAACATTCAATTGTTTCTGGAAACACAAGAAGCTTTTTTTTAACACATTAAAAATGAGAGTTGTCCAAAGTTATGTATGATCAACACTGCTGTGTGGTGCAGGAGCTTGCACAATGCACAAGAATTTAGAAGTCTAAGTGAGTTTTTGGAGACGTGAATAAATGGAAGAATAGGTTGTATTTCCTGGAAACAAAAAACAACCAGAGGTTCTGGTGAGTGGACTTGAAGAAAGTTGCTAAAAAAAAAAATGTTTTATTCACACTGAAAGACCTAACTCTCTTATTAAAACCCTACGGAAGATAAAAGGTGAAGACAAGTGACAAGAGGTAGACAGTACAAGTGGGAAGATAATATCAAACAACAGAGGAATATCAGTCAACAAAAGTGTACAACCAGGCCAAGAGAGTGGATTGTAGCAAACCTTCATTGTGAAGATGGCATTGGACTGACTGTTTGATTTCTCACTCATTTCATTGCAATTATGATGGATTTTCTTTGGATGAATATTTATTGGAACCAAATGTAATTCGGGTAAAAAAGTACTGGAACACAATAATATAGTTCAAATATCCACATGTAACGTACATCTTGACTGATACAAACATTAAATACCTCATCTTTCTTCTTCAGAAGTGGACAGATTTCTCTGGATTCATCAGCCAGACATGTTTCCCTGGTGGCATATCCACTCACAACGTAAGCATCATACCCTGCACCAATAAGCATTGAGCATAGCAGAGTGCTGTATTCAAAACAGTTGCCTCTTTGTCGCTTCAAAATGGTAGCTGGAGAAATAAGTCTTGTTGGCTGAAAATGTAACCAATTATTTTTCTAAAACAAAAGTGTGCATCAAAATTAAGGATACAGACTGCATTCATTGAAAATAAAAAATGAAAATGAACATTAGCATCATATCAGACGTCAGCAAACCAGCATGGGAAAGGCAAAGCTATCAGCTCTGTCAACAGACAAAATCATCATATACTCAACAATTTGCTGGAGGAAAAGCATTGGACAATTTTGAAAGTCACATGATAGTGTTGCTGCTACTCTCAATAAACCAGACACAAACATAAGATCTCTTAAATCAAGGAAGGTACTAAGGAATTAATACAACTGCCAAACAACAAGACATTCATGGTCAACATACTCCGAACTGTAAGAAGACAGACGATCAAGAAGAAAGTAATGTCTCATCTGTCTAATGAGGAAATCGTGAAATATAGTTAATAAGAGGGAAAACACTAACATTAAAATTCAAGAATATAAAAGGTTAATCAGCAGAAACCATGTATCCTCTATCATTAAAGTCATTGACTTCCAGTCCAAAATGGAAGATAACCAGCTAGCCACTGATGATTTGATTACCAGATTACCAGATTTGAAAAGTTATTTGTTTCTAACCAGGTTTTGCTTATGCAAATTCCTCACTTCTGGACTGGGTGTCCAAAGGTTCCATCACCCAGCTACTGAGTGCTTTGTGCAACACTGTGAGCTGTGGATTTTATATGGAATATTATTTTTCTATTGTGCCCGCAACAGCTTGTGTTGTGAACTGTGTTAAAACATGATGAGCGGTTGATTGCCTTTGGAATGGTGTGTTCTTACCCCAAGTTACATGTAAAATGCTGACTTTTTTACTGACTGTGTGCTGCAATTCTGATGTGGGACTGTTATGTTGGCACCTCTAATGGCTGACTTATACATTTACTTTTTGTTTGTGAGCTTCTGAATGCTTTCTACCCATTCATAGTGTAGAATACCTGTTGCAGGGTTATGCAAGGTTACTAACTATAGCTGCTGCTTTGGAAACTATCAACGCACCCAGTGCCCACATGCAGCCGACACAGGTATAAGAAAACCTAACATGAATAGATAGATCATGCACTAATTTCAACCAGAAACCATGGAGCTAGACACAGTGGATATCCTTTCTTTGAAGAAGCTAATAAATAAGTAAATGTGGAAAAACAAGTTTTCTTATAAGCCATCTGAATTGTTATAATCATAAAAATGTATGTAGTTTAGATAAGAAAATAAAACACTTATTGAGCAAACACACCTCTGAGGTCAGTGTACTAATCTTAATAATAATAATAATAATAATAATAATAATAATAATAATAATATGCATAATATGCATCTTTTAACAACAAATTTTAAAATTAAAATAAAACAGGCAATATAACCCCCCCAAAAATAATTATTGAAATATTACTGACCAGCTCATATGGAGGTTCCAGTGTATCAAAGTTAAGATAGACTGCAACAAATTCAGCCGCACCATCCCAGGTGTTGAGTTCTTTGTATGGCAGTAATGTTGGTCGAACGGTGGTACACACAAATTTCTATACATATTTGATAATGGAGATATAGGAATCAAAATATAAAATTTCCATTACAGATTAGTTAATGCTTATATAGAGCAAATTATAACATATTTCTTTTTCTCAAGATGTCCAGAAAAAATGCTACAGATATATTTGATAATAGTTTTACAAACAGTGCCATTTGAAATATCATAGTGTGACATTCAAGCTAAATATACAACTGTTTCCCCACAAGTACGATCTAACCCAACGAAATAAGCCTTTGCATGGTTTTTCAGGATGCTCATAATACAAAACATGGTCCAAATGTAAGCCTTAGATAAGATCCTCGGTCAGATGTACAGATTTTGTTCGTCTATTGAAACAGATGATAGACACACGGATTACCTACAGAAATAGCACTGATACTGATACCATGAGTCCCTACAATATCACAGCATAGCAGGAAACTGAGAGTGCTCTAGCTCGGATATTAATCATCTGTTAACCTGTAATGCCTAGCGGCACAGAGGAGGCTATGTACATAAAATAAGAAAAGATACACATCTTTTCCATGAAACAACTGTCAGTCAATTGGGTGCCACCTGCACCGTGAAGGGTAGCTGCAAAGAATCTTAGTCATTTGTCCTGGTTGTATATTCTGTCACTGTTGTTCATCCACATCTTTATAAATAATCCTTGCACTTGTATCACTGTCTACCTCTTGCTCACCTGCCTTCAACTTTCCTTTCCGGTATTGTTTTTATAGGGTGCTGTGCTATCACAGCAGTGGCAGTGGCTAAACTTTTGCCTGAAGGTACTAAAGGATTCTTTCTATCCAAAATTAACCTTGACTTCCAGGTCAAAGAAACCTAAAATGTATACCAGGAAATGTCTTGAAAAGTAAAGGTGGCTGTTGTGATCTCAACTACATCCCAAATTAAATAGCTATTGGTCTATAAATACATGTCTTATCTTCTTCTTCTTGGCGTTAACCAGCTGTAAACTCTGGCCGAAAGTTCTGGTTGTTTATCCACTTCTGGACTGTAGTCCTGTTCCAGAACCTGAGTGTTGCGTGTGCATCCATTTGACAGATCTGACGCATACATATGCCGACTACTAGTTCCTTGCCTCCCAGGCAGATGCAGTCATACTTTGAAGGATGAGTCTAGTATAATATGCCTGTTGTGCCACTGGCATAGAAAAGGTCCTTAACAAACTTATGATTTTTTTAAGCATACACAAAAATATAGGAGGAATATAAGAGGCGTAGCTGACCGAGCAGTTACAGCATTGGTGTCTCATGCGGGAGACCTGGGTTCGACACCCGGTAAAGTGATGGAGTTTTTCTCTCGGGGACAAAATTAAACATACTAACCAGTACAGTCCGAGGTGACAGCACTAACCATGTGGCCCTAAAACCTCAGGCTTATGATCCCCTGTACACACCGCCTCAAAAAAGTGGTATATACGAACAGCAGTGACAGTTTTTTTTAGACACAAAAATATGCTAACCTATCATTTACTTTGAAATGTCTCAACTTACCTCCACACCACATTCATTAACAGGATTGAGGAATAACGGTTTACGATCTTGATACAGATGCACATACTGGCGACGAAAGTTTTCAACAAACTGCAAGGTTAACTGTTCTTTTGGCAGATTATCTTTGTAAGAAAATGGGAACTCTGCAGGGTCAAACAACTCCTCTTGTCTTGTCCTGTAAGAATAAATTATTTTTACATATATGATATTCCCGGGAAAAGAGTTGAATTGGAGTACACCGTGAGGCAGACATATAGGATGGTAGAGAGGTAATAAACAGAAAGCCCTAAAGACACTTAGAGTAACTTATTTGCTAATTGTTATCCAAATCGACATTCTAGCACATTGGTCTGACCACTTTGTGCTCCATCCTCCACTGCAGCAGTCATCTCAGTGTCTCCATGCTCAACATACCCAACAGGAATTTACTGGCATATCTTTTTTTCTTGCCTGGCTACTGGTTTTGGCATGCTTGTCCTAATTAAATACCCAATTTCTCCTTTGTCTCAACATCACTGTGAAAGTCAGTGTATTCAATATGTCTGCCCTGTCCATATTTCTTCCTCCACTTACTACTGCAGACACAGCTATTCTGTCAGCTCTTTCATTTCCTCACACCCCTGTATATCCTGATGTGTACAGCCAAGTTAATTTTCTGAGGTTGGACTTCTGGATGCTGTCAACCCATTCTAGTTAGACTCTGCCAGTTGGATCATCTTAAGCATGCACATTGATTCTGTCGCTATAAACTAACACAGTGGCCCTCAGGAGGGCTTGAAATGCTGAAAAGAAAGAAGAAGAAGAAAAAGAAGAAGAAGAAGAAACAGAAGAAGAAGAAGAAAAAGAAGAAGAAGAAGAAGAAGAAGAAGAAGCCACACCTTTACATAGCAATGATAAATTCAAAACTGTAACAATAACATACTGCGCTTCTGTATCAGGTAGCACAACAATTATCCTATCAAGTTCTTCTTTCAGTGCGTCAGCATCTTCGCTAAATTCCAGATATTCACTTGGGTGTTTGTTATCAAGTTGATCGGCATCGCTGTTTCCCTTATCACCGCCGTGGCTGTCACTGTCACCTGCGTCTGTAGTGTCTATTTTTTCGTCTTCATTCACGGCATTCTTTACATCCTCGCCCACGGTGGACTTTACCTCCTCGCTTTCGGTGGCGTTTACAACCTCGCCCTCGTTGATACTATCAGCTCTCGATTCACTCTCCATTTTCAAAACATAAACTCGGAACGGAGAATTTAAACACATTCGCAACCATGGAAACAGTGCTAAGCTAGTGCCGCGACGAATTATTTTGTTGTATTATTCACACAGAATGTGATGCTAGTTTAATTACAGCTGCCTAGATAATACTTTCAAAATTTCTAGGTGAATTCTTTTAGCATCTTAAAGTTAATAGGCAAATGTGCTGTTATGCAAAATCTAAACATTGTACCAAACATTATGACCATTTACTGCGGACTTAAATGGGCGGGGGAGGGGGTGGAAGGGTATGACACGTTCGACAAATGATTTTCGAAGGGGACCGAAATGTCCCATTTCGCCTTGTACATCTTTTTCTTTCTTTCTTTTTTTTTTTTTTTTTCGCGTTTACACATTGTAAATCCCGGCGGAAAGTTTTGTTTGCTCGTCCACTTCTGGACTTGGGTCGTGTTTCTGAACTTGACTTTTATGTGCTCATGCGCTTCAGATATCTGGCTTATTTGTATGCAAACTGCTGGCTCCTTGCCTCTCAGGCATATGCATTCCGACTTTGAAGCAAATCCTAATTAGTCTACTCCTACGACATGCTTGGTAGACAATGGGTATGTTATTTTTCTCCCATTCTGAGAGTCAGAAATCCGCAGGGAAAGACATACACAGTATACAAATGTCCTCTTTAAGTACCAAAAAGACGAAGCTGCAAGAATAGAGGTTAAGATGAAACTGTCGATGCTGTGCGAGAACACTGAGCTAGGCACTGATTTCACAATCACTGCAGACACCTTAAGAACTTGCCTCAAGAAATCGCGCAGCACTGCTCCAGGCCCTGACGGCATCCGATACAATGACATGCTGATGATGTCGAATGCTGATTTGAAAAGCGTGGCAAAGGAATTCAATATTAGCATCCAGAGTGGCCAGATACAAGAGGAATGGCTCCATAGTTATTTGTTCCCACTACCAAAGCCTAATAAAGACCACTCAAAGATCTGCGGCTACAGAATCATCTCGATGCAGAATACTGTTGGCAAACTTTTGGAAAAAATTGTCGCACAAAGATTGACCACCTACTTGGAACTACATGAAAAATTCCCATCAACACTTGGAGGGTACAGGTTGAAAAAAGAGACATGGTTCAATGATGCTGTTTTCGCCTACGATGTGTACGAGGGATTTCAGATTAAAGAAGAGACATGTGCGGCAGTGTTGGACTTAGAAGATGCCTACAATAAAGTACCATATGATTATTTAATGCAATTACTGCTTAAACTAGAAGTCAGTCCTATTCTGATCCGCTGGATTGCTGCGGTCCTGTTCCAGAGAAAGATTGTACTAAGATGTGGTAGCTGGTCCTCAGAACCGCAAACGATATGTCCAGGCTTGCCACAGGGATCACCGCTATTACCAGTCTTATTCAACGTTTATACGGTGATGATCACTGAGCAGCAGTTGAATGGAAAGGGAAGGACTTTGTCATTTGCTGATGACATTTTGATTTATCGACGAGGGCGTGATAGACAGGAGATCGCCAGCACAATGCACAAAGAACTCGATCGAATTGCCGCCTGGTGTGATGGTTCCAATGCCTATGTCGATCCTTCGAAGGCACCAGTGTCATGGTTCTCTTTGAACAATCACATTGTCAAGTCGGACTTACCAGAAGTGAAAATGCGTGATAATGTATTGATCAGAACCAACGTTATGACGTTTCTCGGGGTGAGGTTCGATCGCAGCTTGTCATTCAGGGAACACGTTGACCACGTGATAACAAAAGCACTCAAAGGTCTATCTGCAATGAGGATTATGGCTGCTTCCAATATCGAGCAAAGACTACTGGTACTTCTATTCTACGGTCTGGTCCTTTTCCCCATTGAATACGCTCTGGCCATCCTCACTGTCAGTGCACCCAGATTGAACGACTCGAAAAGGTGCAAAATGAAGCCATGCGTATTATTTTGGGATGTACAAGAGACACATCCTGTGGAGCAATGAGGTATCTACTTGACTTTCCAACAATGAACCAAAGGATCAGGATGTGGAGGGCTCGGGCATACCTCAAAATATGTGCTGATAAGAAACACCCACTGCATCAAGCGCTTTTTAGTGAAAAGGGTGACAGACTGAAGAGGGGAAAATCGTGGCTAGGTCGGGCAGAAGATGTTATTAGGCAAATATGCAGCCTAACCGACATCATCCCTGGTGCAGAATGGATACCTGTGCCTCAGGCGTTTAATTGTACATTTTCCTGTATTGTCACACTCAACAGGCAACGTAGAGAAGAGAATCCTGTTGCTGTTAATGCAGAGGTCAACGCTCTCATCGGTGAAAATTCAGACGATGCAGATGCACTAATCTATACAGACGGATCCGTTATACGCCAAAGAAGAAGCGCATGGGCATTTACAGCACGCTCAGCGGGCAGAACAGTCAAAGAAGCCAACGGCGCCTTCTCCATGACAACCAGCAGCATGACGATGGAGGTGATGGCAATGACGCAAGCGTTTGCCTGGCTTGAAACACAAAAATACACCCGCATCCACATCACTCGCCAGAATGGCAGACTTGGGAATTAAGATCGGCACAGCAAAAAACGAGACGCACACCGGACACGTCAGAAAACTTGTTAATCAACATAGAACTGGTACTATTAGCCATCGGACGTTGGGGTTCATACTGAGGGGAGGATCTGAGCACCTATGGACATGTCCGGAGTGCAATGATGATAACCCAACTAACTAACTAACTAACTAACTAACTAACTAACTAACTAACTAACTAACTAACTAACTAACTAACTAACTAACTAACTAACTAACTAACTAACTAACTAACTAACTAACTAACTAACTAACTGACTGACTGACTGACTGACTGACTGACTGACTGACTGACTGACTGACTGACTGACTGACTGACTGACTGACTGACTGACTGACTGACTGACTGACTGACTGACTAACTAACTAACTAACTAACTAACTAACTAACTAACTAACTAACCAACTAACTAACTTACTAACCTCTTTAAGTATTTGTACACTATTTCTGGGTACTTACTCATCCTGTGAACGTGAATTACATAGACTCCTATTTTTATCTTGACGTTAATGTTTTATGCATAAAAAACATTTAGTCTGCTGATTTGTATCGAAACATATGTTTTCTTTGTTATTTTCATCACTTGTATTATTTTAGTTAGGCCAAAAACTGCCAATTTCTTCTTCTTCTTCTTCTTCTTCTTCTTCTTCACGTTCACCAGCTTTAAACTCTGGCGGAAGGTTCTGGTTGCTCGTCCACTACTGAACTGCAGTCCTGCTCCAGAACCTGAGTGTTGCGTGTGCATCAGTTTTACAGATCTCATTCTCTTGAATACAGACTGTTGGTTCCTTGCCTCTCCGGCAGATGCACTCCGACTTCAAAGGAAGCTTCCCAATTAGTCGACTCTTACGACATGCTTTTGGGGAGGCAGTGGGTCTATTCTTGTTTTCCCCACAATGGGGCCCCGGAACCCACACGGGGGCTGCCAATTACTGCCTTTATCCTCACTACACGACTGTGCAGGTAAGGATTTATTTTGCCCCAACAGAAAAAAATTCCCAGCCTTATCTAGGATTCGAACCCGGGTCTCGCGCTTGAGAGTCCTGTGTTTTAACCGTACGGTCAGCATAACAGTTAAGCAACATAACAAATTTTACAAAACTGACGTTAGTTAGTTAGTTAGTTAGTTAGTTAGTTAGTTAGTTAGTTAGTTAGTTAGTTAGTTAGTTAGTTAGTTAGTTAGTTAGTTAGTTAGTTAGTTAGTTAGTTAGTTAGTTAGTTAGTTAGTTAGGTTATCATCATTGCACTCCGCACATGTCCATAGGTGCTCAGATCCTCCCCTCAGTATGTACCCGAAAGTCCGATGGCTAATAGTACCAGTTCTATGTTGATTGACAAGTCTTCTGGCGTGTCTGGTGTGCGTCTCGTTTTTTACTGTGCCGATCTTAATTCCCAGGTCTGCCATTCTGGCGAGTGATGTGGATTCACTGCCACCAAAGTCCTTTATCATTTCCATTTCTCTGAGGGCATTGATAATATCAGCATGATCCATAGGCTAACCTTCGGTAGTGATAGCGGATCCAGCCAACCTGTCAGCTCTTTCATTTCCATCGACACCTGCGCTTCTGTAATGATTCAAGCCATTGTCTTCGCACTGAACCTGCCTGAACCCTTCGGATCATACTCATTGAATCACTGAGTATACATACGCGGGTGTATTTTTGTGTTTCAAGCCAGGCGTCACTGCCATCACCTCCATCGTCATGCTGCTGGTCGTCATGGAGAAGGCGCCGTTGGCTTCTTTGACTCTTCTGCCCGCTGTGCGTGCTGTGAATGCCTATGCGCTTCTTCTTTGGCGTATAACGGATCCGTCAGTATAGATTAGTGCATCTGCTTCGTCTGAATTTTCACCGATGAGAGCGTTGACCTCTGCATTAACAGCAACAGGATTCTCTTCTCTACACCGCCTGTTGAGTGTGACAATACAGGAATGTACAAATAAACACCTGAGGCACAGGTATCCATTCTGCACCAGGGATGATGTCGGTTAGGCTGCATATTTGCCTAATAACATCTTCTGCCCGACCTAGCCACGATTTTCCCCTCTTCAGTCTGTTGCCCTTTTCACTAAAAAGCGCTTGATGCAGTGGGTGTTTCTTATCAGCACATTTTTTAATAACAAGAATTTAACCAGTCGTAAACCGACTTAAATGACCCTAACCCTAAACACAAAAGTCACCTTTTTACAAATATCCATCATACTTAAAAACTTATGTTTTGTGAACTTTGTGCTGTACATATGTTAAAAGGTAATTCAACAAGGATCATTCCCCATTTTGTCGAGCTTTTAAGTCAAATTTCTCTGGAATTCCTTGTATTATCTTGACTGCAGTCACCCCCATATTTTCACGTTGAGAATTAAGTAATTAGTAATGTTTAGTTGTCTCCATTTATATTCCACTACAACTTGAATAGAATATTTTTTTCAAAACATAGCCACCAATCTGCAAACGCAGTATAGTAGTATTGCGTCAACTATGATCGCATACACTATATGGTACAATTAAGGATGATAAGACAACCGCAAGGGAAAACAAACGGGAGATGATATTTTGGCATTGGGCGACAAAGTTGCGCGAATTGGGCTACAAAATGGCGTGTAGATAAAAGGCATAAAACAGATGTTTCATGTGCCGAAGGCCAAGTAACGAAGTAAAGACGGAAGAATAAAAGCAACTTGTTTATTACACAGGTAACTCTTTATATTACCCAATACATATATAATATTGTTACTCATTAATGATCTAAACAAAGGGAATCAATAGGCTATTTACTTTTACAAACTGCACCGTGCCACTCTATGTAGTAAATTATAATTAATAATAAGAGAATATATATTGCTTATTAATATTATAATTATAAAACTGCTTTAGTTTAAAGATGTACCCCCCACCCCTTTTTTTTTCTGCCCTGATTTTCATCAGGATTGCAGCAAGAACGACTGATACCAAGTGAATTAAAACAGCTTCTTTTCGAATGCGAAGCCAACAGCTGTGCAAGCAAGTCCCAGACAGCAGACATAGTCCTCATTAGTCAACATATTAATAATATTATTAAAGTTATCCTTATAAACGGCAGCCGATGTAGGTGGGTTTTGGGCATTTGACAAAATTGACTTTATTATTAACAGTAATTATTATTAAAGTGGTGACGTATAATATATAAATATGGAAATATTGTTTACAGTATCGTATCCTTTTGGATATAATAATATTTAATGTATTATGTTGTACAGTTGTGTTGTTGTCTGCAACATGACCCGAATTGTCCTACTCCAAGTCCAGGGAGATGTGTAGCAGTATCTGTATGCTAGTCTAGTATTGGAGTTCCTTCTTGTCTCAGTATTAGTATAATTAGCCCAGCTCAAGACGTTACTGTTTAGTTATTGTTTATTGCTAACCCACTATGTGATATCTGTTAACATAGTTTTTGAAAAGGCAAAAATTTTTTGTACCCTAGTTATAACCAGGAAAGTTTGAACAAGTTGTCTGATAAAATTCTTCTATATCTGTATACAGTCTGCTCTGTAAGTTAATTTTCATTAATAGCACAATGATTAAGAAAATAACAATAACTAATAACTAAACTTTTGCTTGTTTTAAATTTTTCAGACTTAACAGTGCCTGCATAGCAACAGATTATAAGTATGATATTCATACAAATACTATATTACCAGTGGCAAGCTTGGATACTATCAAAAACAGCAATGATAAAGTCAACAGTTGTGAGATAAGATACCTAAGGAAAGCATCTAATACCTTTAGAAACTGGCATTCTCGGAGTATTGGCATCTTGTCTTTTTCTGCTTCTCCTTTTTCTTCATGTTCAGTGACTGTAAACTCCAGTGGACAGTTCTGGTTGTTCGTCCACCTCCAGAATTTAGTCTTGTTCCAGAACCTGAGTGTTGTGTGACTTGTCTGATCTGCAGTTACCTTCACAGGCACTATACCTAAGGCGAGCTGTTTCAGCATGTGACTAATTAAATAACACCAACCAAATTTATGTATCAGCTCTATCCATGCTTCTTCCAGTTTGCATTGGTTGAATTACTTGCCAGCTAATCTGCTCTTCCATAACAAATATCATAAATAAAAATATTTTGTTTCACGTGCTGTGACAACAGTGAAGAAGTACAGTCGAGGGTGAGGCATATATAAAGACTAGCAGTCAGTCACAAATGGTGTATTTTCTTGGGACAGAAAGAGTTAATAGACTGGTTTTATTCTTGTAATTAAATGATGTCGGCATCTGTGGCCTAGGCATTGCAAACATCCTTCATAATTTTGAGATACCAGGTTTGATTCCAGCTGCAGGCAGCTTAGCAGACCACCTTGTGTTGATTTCAGCAGCGATATTCAGAAAACAATGGCAGACTACTGAACGTACAATTGCCTAGTAAAACCAAACTCCCCAAAAATGCTGGGGTTGCTTCCGCAAAGTCCTGTTAAGGATAAACGTGTAATTAATTGAATCGAAAGGTAATTAAAACCCTTGACTTATTTACTTGTGACAGTAAACATTTCTGCTATGCTTCTTTTTTATCTGTATAGTTAGTCAAACTAACCAGCCAGTTTGATTAGAGTTTAAAAAACTCTAAATAGGAAAAGGTCACATAAAAAAAAAAAAAAATTATCAGAAAACCAGTAATTGCAGTGCAAGATGACTGTTATAGACAGACAAGAAAAAGTCATTTTTCTGTGCCTCAGAATAGAGTACAGTTAATTACACAGCCACATACACAATTTAAAATTAGAATATAATCTAAGTGCACATGGAAATTAGTACCACAGACAGCAGAATACATACTCCAAGACTGTTCTGAACAGAACACTTTAAAGTAAACCTTTTAGTTTAAAGAAACGACAGTGGAAACACTTTATGGACAATTAAGTAAATTTTAAAAAAAGGCAGTGAAATTTATACATCAAGCAGCGTTGCAGGAAAAGAATTAAAGAAAAAGAAGCATAATTAAGATGTTATATATTTTGTGATATGTTTTGGTTTTATTTTATTTTTTTAACTATAAAAATTATACAAGCTTGACTAGCTTGAAAGTTTTTTAAAATTTAATTTAAACGTTGAAATAGTATAATGTTTATTAGCTTGTAAGTATTTTTTATTTTATTTCAGAAAAATTATTTCTTGACTGGGTGTAGCGAAAATGATTAGGACAAGAGAAGATAACTCTGAGGTTAATGAAACAGAAGATCAAGAATTACCTAACATGGCTTCTGGCAGACATATTGTGAAAAAGATGGGGAAGAGAAATATGGTATCGTTTTGGATCTTTGGCTTATGTAATAATTTTGCATACGTGGTGATGCTTAGTGCAGCTCACGACATTTTAAAAGAAGAGGAAAAACCTTCCAACTCATCCTCATCAGGAAACTCAACTACAGAGAATCCACCAGAAACAACTAGTCACGCGTCCAATGTTACTCACCTGGAATGCAACTCAATAAGCACAGGAGCTATATTGCTGGCTGACATTTTACCTACTCTGTTTGTAAAGCTGACATTTCCATTATTTATACAGAAGATACCATATAACATTAAAGTATCTCTAGTGTCAGTTTTTATTCTTGCTAGTTTTCTTATCGTGGCCTTTGCTCGTGAAATATGGTTAAGTATATTAGGAATTGTTTGTGCAAGTATCGCAGGGGGGCTTGGAGAAATTACATTTCTTAGTTTGACCACTTTCTACCATGTAAATGTAGTTTCAATGTGGTCGTCTGGCACAGGCGGTGCTGGTGTTCTTGGAGCACTTGCCTATGCTGGGTTTACTACGGCAGGCTTATCGCCTCGGAATACTCTACTAGTCATGATTGTTGTTCCCGTGATGATGATGGCGACATACATTTTTCTCATACAAAAACCCAACTACGAGAAGAATAAAAAGAACGAAGATAGTGATGATCACACGTTGCTGCTTGAAGATAATACACCAGTGAAGATACATTTGACTCTGGGTCAAAAGTTACTACTTATCCCAGGTTTGTTCAAGTACATGATCCCATTACTTCTTGTTTACTTCGGGGAGTATTTCATCAACCAAGGCCTTCATGAGCTGTTGTACTTCAATGGAGTATGGCTCTCCAAAAGTGAACAGTACAGATGGTATCAAGTCGACTATCAAATTGGTGTCTTCATTTCTAGGTCCTCAGTGAATATAATCCACATTCAAAAGCTGTGGATTCTGCCAATCTTACAGTTCGTGAACCTGATCGTGTTGTTTTTTCATGTTTTCTTCAGGTTCATTCCATCAATCTGGATTGTTTTTATCATTATTCTTTGGGAAGGACTTCTAGGTGGAGCAGCTTACGTCAACACATTCTATAAAATGACAAATGAATTGCCTGCCGACAAGAAGGAATACTGTATTGGTGTTGCCACACTGGGCGATTCTGTCGGGATTGCTGCAGCAGGTGCTGTGGCTATTCCTGTACATCAGGCAATCTGTAACCTGAACTTAAAAATGTAATTTCCCTTCTGGGAGACTGTTGTCGTTAATAGTAATCCACCTTCATTTGTCCTGTCAGCACAGTCTTTTTTGTTCCTGGTGGTATGCACTGGTACACACCACCTGCATCATTGTTATTTTTTTTAAAAGCATTTTTTGTTGTTAGTTCTTCTTAATAGATACTTTGTGGAGAGTATAGGCACCTTTTTTTTAGACACTTTACATTGAATACTGGCATCTGTGTCTTGTAAGAAAAAAGCTCTGCCTGTCAGTATTTGAACATGTAGAGATGCATGTGTTTTTATGTACGACACTGCTTTTAAAATAGATTAGAAACTTTAAAAAAAGGATTAGTTCCTTAACTTTACCCACAGGTGTAAAAATTAGTTCCTTAACTTTACCCACAGGTGTAAAAATTAGTTCCTTAACTTTACCCACAGGTGTAAAAATTAGTTCCTTAACTTTACCCACAGGTGTAAAAATTAGTTCCTTAACTTTACCCACAGGTGTAAAAATTAGTTCCTTAACTTTACCCATAGGTGAAGAATGTCACTGAAAAACCATTTGTTAAAGAAGGAATGTTCTCCTTGTTGGTTCTGGGGTCTAATTTGTTTAGGGAGAAAAGAATAGATCCACTGCCTCCCAAAAGGCATGTCAAGTGACTAAGTAGAAGTTTTCTGAAATCCTTTGTGGTGAGCCAAAAGGCACATATATCACAGCTTAGCTGTAAACTACAAAACAGCATGCTGTTTTTAGAAGTAATTAGAAATGACCTTGGCTCCCAGGTTAACCTAGCCTAGAATGGGTACCAGGCAAAGCCCTGGGAAGTAAAGGTGACCGGCATGATATTGACAACATAACCAACTAAGTGTCGATTAGTATTTAAAACATGATGATTGGCACCTTTCCATCTTTATAGACGATAGTGTTATATTGTGCTATAAGGAGTCATGGGACTCACAGTCCGTGGCGATGGCCAGTGCGACTTGCAGGACCCGCCTGTGTTGAGAAAAGTCTTCCACAGTTATAGCATGGGATTTCAGGACCACTGCTGTGAATGTTTGTGTTTAGTCTGATCTTCTCAGATGTTTAGCTCTATCCTTTCTGCAATCATTTCTTCCTTCACTCTCATTCCCTTCCTGATGTGACCCCTCCACACAACACAGTCCATGGCATTTTGTTTCCCCATGAGTCCACCTCAATACCTGTATCCTTTATGTCCTGCTTGCAGATGTCTTTATATTCATAGTAGAGGTCGGCCTCAACATCTTCTGCCCCTCTTTAGTTCTCTATAAAGGATGTCCTTAGGGACTATCATCCTTCATTCTCCAGGTGTGACCCAGCCACCTGAGCCTTTGTAGACTGAGAATTGAGAAGACTGCTGTAATACCTGCTCTTTCCAGTACCTCAGTGTTTGTGATCTTGTCCTGCCACTTGATGCCAAGAATTCTTCTAAGACATTGCATGTGAAAGCTATTTAGCCGTTTCTCCTGGTGCAAATAAGTTGACCAAGTTTCACTGCCATAAAGTAGTGCTGAGAACAACAGGCCTGATAGACAAGAGTTTTTGTTTTAATCTTGAACTTTGCTTTAAAATATAGGTCTAGCCCTGTATGCCCAGTATACCTAAAGGTTTGGAAAAGGGTTCTTTTTGAATGAGTAGTAAGATAAGAAAGCTCCAGTGGATCAAGAGGTGAAGAAAAGACGTTGGCGTTGGATAGGACACTCATTGAGAAAACTGGAGAACAATGTAACTAGAATGTCTTTGCACTGGAACCTACAGGGACATAAGACTAAAGGAAGGCCAAAAAGTGAATGAAGTTAGAAAGATGGGAAGGACATGGGGAGAGCTGCATGCAATAGCAAAAGGTAGAATGACTTGGTGTGGGTTGAGGGCCTATGTTCCATTGGGGAGTCTATGCTCCATATGATGTCTTCATAATCTGGTCTGCAGTCGTTAACAGTGACAGAGTTGACAAAATACATCCTTGTTGCAATCACTCCAACTTTAAATGATGACTTTAACTCTTTGAGTCCCAAGGAACACATCATACGTTCATAGGTTCCTACCTAAAAGCCCAATGAATGTATGATGCGCCAATTTTATATCTCCCTTCACTACTCCTTGGGCCTGTGATGCTAAACCCACTGAGACTCAAAAAAGTAAAAAAAAATTACAACTCTTACTAGAGGCAGTAATGAAAGTATTGTAAGAGTTCAAATAATACATGGAGTTAAGTTTTTGTAGATTCACATTTTATTTCCCGGTCACATATAAAGAATAACTGTTTTATTTTTAACGGTTTTTTTTTACCCCAGAAATTCCTGAAAAAAATGGGAAGTATGAGAGCTTGGGTTGTTTGTAGGTCACCAGGGCGAAAGGGTTACAAGTTTTTCAAATGTAATTTCTCCCCACAGGACTTGGACTATGCGTTGTTTCTGTGTATGCAATGTTTTTATACATGATAATATACATATTTATCTGGTCCACTTCTCAAAATTGACTTCACTTGTTTCTGAGTGAGGGACTGAGCCTCGAGAGGCAGGGGGTAAGAAGTGTTGCTGTTGTGGGTAATGGGTCCCCCCCCCCTACTTCACCCTAGGTCTAGTGAATATCTGTTCACGAAAGGAGCATCCATTGTAGTGTCAGCCTATTGACCTAGCAAAACCTCTCTTACCTCAAGACCATTGTGCGTGGCGAAGAGTCACAGCCTCCCCGAGGTAGTCCTGGTAACTGGGAGTGCGAATCCCCAGGGAAAACACAATGGATCTAGAGGAGCAAACCTCGATAATAAACCCGGTGCACCACACCGTACTGCCCCCTGTGGGAGGGAAGGAGCCAGAGGTGTGCTGAACAGTCTTAGGAATGGAAACAAGTATGCTAACCCCCCTGAATACCGGAAACTATCGTAAAGGCACAGGGACTCAGGACGTGACGATCCAGTTGCTCCAACTACTCATGCTTAGGCCATGCTTAGAGCCATTAAGAGCTCAGCGAAACCTGCAGGCAAACTGGTGGCAGGGAATGAGCACACTGTGAGCCCCACCTTAGCTACGTGTTAAAGGGGAAGGCAGAAACACAACACATATTTCCTTTAGAACTGGTACAGGGCATTTCAAGCTGCTGCCCGGGGAGGTAGGTAATCCACAGACACCCCAGCACCACAATGCCATGAATATGTCAAAATTTAAGAATACATACGAGATGGGTCGTCGCCTCGTCTATCAAGGCCCGCGCCAGACAGTGGGAAACCAGGCTGTCATGTGTGAAAAATTGGCTACTGGAAAATTTGAAATAAATAGGAAAATCAGACACCCCAGGAGGAGGAAGAGTGGGAGGGAGAGCAAAGAGAACCCAGACAGCACAGCAAAAAATACACAGATGCTCAATATTCTGCAGCTGAACATCTGTGGAATAAGAAATAAGAAACTTGAACTTGCCAAACTGCTAAACAATCACAGGGTACACGCGGCTGCCCTACACAGCTCTCTCAGTTGAAGAAACAAGAGAGAGCTCAAACAGCCAGCGACTCCCTTTTTGAAAATGAATTTAGCATGGATGAATTAGAGCAAGCCCTGAAGAAATTAAAAACTAGAAAATCCTCAGGCCCAGATAAGATCCACAACGAAATGCTGCTACATCTTGGCCGGTCTGGGAGAGAAGTAGTTCTCAGGCTTATTAATAAAACTTGGAGGTCAAGCAAACTTCCAAAGGCATGGAGGAATGCATATATCGTCCCCATTCTTAAAACCAAAAAGCCTCCAGATGACCCCAAAAGCTACCGCCCGATATCCTTAACATCATGCTTGGGCAAAGTTGCAGAAAGAATGATAAACAGGCGCTTATATTGGTTCCTTGAGAGTTCTGGTGTTCTATGCCATGAACAGGCAGGCTTCAGAACCAACAGCTGCACAGAAGACCAGCTGTTCAGACTGACACAAAGAATACATGATGGCTTCCAGAATAAGAAACACACAGTGGCAGTCTTTGTCGACCTCCAGCAGGCCTATGACAGAGTATGGAGAAAAGGTCTCCTGATGAAGATGATGAGCATAGGAATACATGGCAGATTGTATAACTGGGTGAAATACTTCCTGATAGATAGAACAATCCAGACTAAAATGCACAACTCAATCTCTTCTAAAGAAGTCTTGGAGGAGGGCTTGCCACAAGGCTCATCATTGAGCTGTACACTGTTCCTAATCTTTATCAATGACCTGCCAGAACAAATCAAGGCCGAAGACCTGGCAATATGGCAGAGTCATGAAAATGTGGAAAGTGGAGCCCAAAGACCTTAGAAGACTGCATGAGTACTGCCAAAGATGGAAACTCAAGGTTAACTGTGCAAAGATGGTCTACACAATCTTTACCAAAAGCCACCAAGTAGCAAGGAAGAATATTAACCTGAGGTTAGACAAACACCAAGTGATGAAAGAAGAGCATCCCACATACCTTGGAGTCACACTTGACCGGCAGCTCAGCTTCAAGAACCATATTGAAAACGTCAGGAATAAGGCGGTTACAGTTATTAAAGAGACTTGCAGGTATATCATGGGGATCAGACAAGGAAACTCTGAGGGGCTTATATCTAGGATATGTTCGCTCTGTGATAGAGTACAACAACTCACTGCTTACAACTTGCTTCAAAACTTAACTAGAGACTCTTTACAGAGTACAAAATAATGCCCTCTGATTAATCTGCGGAGCTATGTGGTCTACACCAGCTGCTGCATGTGAAATCCATACAAATGTGGGACCCCTCGGGTTGCGGAGAGAAAAAGCCACTTTAGAAATTTATGAAAGATGCTTTAGGAAAAATCGTAACCATCCTAATAGACATCTTGTAGAAAACTGGGAATACAAACAAAGAATAAAGCACAAATCGGTTTTACACTGTGTTAATCAAATTCAGGACAGATACCACCTTCCAGAAAGACGTCAAGGAATTCAGAATGTTGCAAGAAACCTACCACCACATGCTCGCTTTAAAGCTCCAGAAGTCCTAACTAAATTGGTAGGCG